CAGAGGCAGCCGTGCTCAGTCGGCAGCAGTCCAGTGGACGGCAGACCAGGCCCCAAGGAGGAAGTGAGGAAGACTTGTGGATGCTGGAAGGAGGAGACCCTGTGATGTGATAGGGGCCAGGCACAGCCCCCAGGGAGGGGACACTCGAGCTCACCCTGGAAAGGTGAGCCGGCCCTGGCAGGTGGAGGACTGGGCGGGCTTTCTAGAGAGACAGGAGGTGGACTGGGTGTGGGGGGCCTAAGAGGGCTGCACCTTTGCAGGGTGCCTGGGGGGAGAGCGGACTGGCCGTGCAGTGGGGTGGTTTAGGCTGGGGTGGGGGCGGGGGTGACATGAACTGAGCTTCCTCTAGGAAAACAGCGTTATTGAGGTGTGGTTCCCGCACTGTACCACCCATCTCCAGCTCGCCCAGTGGTGATTGATGTGTTTGCAGGGGTGAGGCTGTCAGCACTGTGCTTTTAGGGTGTTCCTGGGATCCCCAAAAGAGACCCTACCCTGGCCCCAGGAGCCTCTGAGTGGTCATCTGGCTGTGGATCTGCCTGTGTGGACGTTTCATGTACAAGGGGCACACTTGTTCGCTGAGGTGACGTGAGGTGGACAAGGGACACACTTGTTCACTGAGGTGACATGCGAGGTGGCTGGTGTCACAGCTCCACCTTGGTCTCTATGACTCGGGCCTCAGCGAGCGAGAGTGTGCCGGGCTGTGTGGATGTGTTGTCATTTCTCTGGGGCACGTGGCCAGAAGCGGGTGGTGGGGTCCCATGGGTCCAGGGCCTCCATGTCCTCGACCACACCTGCTGCCTTCTGCATCCGTCCCCGTGGGGGGGGGTGTGTGTGTGCTCAATGACAGTGACATTGAGCATCTTGTCACGTGCCTGTCAGCCCCTTGCGTGTTTTCTTTGGAGACATGGCTGTTGTGATTCTTTGCCTTTTTTAACGGGTTATTTGACCTGCACGACTTACAAAGATGAGTTTGTCTTTGATTGGGGGGGGCGAGCAGGGAAACACCCATCCACGTGACTTCACGAGGTGGGGAGTCATGGCCTCAAAGTGGTTGCTGGGTTTGGTGAGCTGAGGGTTAGTGGAGTAGTGGTTGGGGTGTCCGGGGGGGTCAGGGGAGGAGGGGAAGCAGGGAGTTGGGCGAAAGCTGACGGGCTGGTGAGAGAAAGGCAGGAGCAGGGAGAGGAGAGGGGCAGAGGGCAGACAGTGCCTCCTGCCCGGGGAGAAGCCCAGTAAGTGAGCCAGCTGCTGCGGCTGCGGGGCGAGGTGGGGAGGAGGAGGAGGAGGAGGCGGGTTGGCATTAGAAGAAAGCGCTGGGTAATTGGTGGGCAGGCCTCCAGAGGAGGTAGGTTGGCTCTAATAACAACAATAACAATAATTTGTCTACAGCTTAGTAGCTGCTGGGCACTGACAACTCTGCGTGCTAATTGGATCGCTCAAGGGCCTGGCCAGGGTGGGTAGGGAGTGGGGATGTGGAGGGGCATGGCATGTCTTTGAGCGGCCTGCTGAGAACTGGGGGAGCTGGGTGGAGAGGTTGAGGCAGGGTGGGAGCCCCTTCTCAGCCTCAAAGTTGGCCACTTCTGTGGTCAGGCCCACTCTGGAATTGCCAGGGCCTTGTCCAGGGAGCTGTGGGCCTTGCCAGCTGGTAGGGCTGCCCAGGCCATGGCCCTCGTAGTGCTTCTCTGTAGTCACCACTGATGGGAAGGGGATAGGACCAGAGGCCTCATAAGCTGTGTGAGTGAGGGAGGGAGTCTGGATGAATGAAGGAGCGAGCGAGTGAGCAGGAAAGACCCGGTCACAGTAGCGAATGCCCCTCTTGGCGTTCCCTAGGACCCTTGCAGCGCACACCCAGCTGGTCCTCGAGCACCCAGCTGTGCGCGTGCTTGCTGTTCCTGTGTGCTGAGGCCTGGAGTGGCCCAGCAGGTGTGCAGGGTCACTGGAATGTGCAGGTAGAACCCATTCTTAGCTGGAGGGCAGGGTCAGGCGGGTGAGCCTCTGTGCCACCCCTCATCTCAGCCTCCACCTTCCCTCTGTGGGGGAGGCAGGCTTCTCCTCTGCCTTCTTAGGCATTTAGGGTTTCCGGCGGGGCACACTTGGATAAGAGAAGCCTAAGAATTGTGTTTCCGTGGCAGGAAGACCCGCAGGGTGCCCAGGCCAGCGTGTTGTACAGCTGGGGAGATCCTTGGAGGGTCTGTTTGCACAGATTGCTGCCTCGGCCTGACTCCCCGTGGCTGGAGATAAGACTTTCTTCCTCCCTGCTGACGGGCACTCTCAGGGTGGGGCTGGGGCTTTATCTCCTGCTGTAGGAAGAAGGGGGGCTGAGTGCCCTTCTTGTATCTGCTGTTGCCTTGAAGTCAAAATAAACTGGCAAAGTGGGCTGTTTCTGGCACTTTTCCTCAAGTCCAGCCCTCCTGCTTCGTTCTCCTTCACCGTCTTCCCAGCCCTCCCCGCCACGGAAACTGTGGGAGGGTGTGTGTGCTCCTATGTGCACGTTTCCTCTGCTGGGTCCTGACAGCGCAGCTCCTGGCTGTCAGTAAGCAGGCACCAGCTGAGAGGCGGCCTGCACTGTTTGCACTCTGCAGACAGAAGGGGCACTGTCCCCAGCTGCCCAGCCCAAGACTGCCCCTGAGCCCACGGGTCCCCTGGGACAGATGAGGGTGCCCTCGCTGCGGGAAGCCAGCCCCCTTCAGTGCTGCGCACCCAGCTATTCCAGGGGAGCACGGGGAGCCCCTGGCAAACAAGTCTGGACAGGAGAGGCAGAGGAGCAGCCTCTCCTGTCCCCCCCCCGCCCCCCCCCCCAGTTTTGGCGTCTTTACAGCATCTTTGTTTACAGGGTAAACAAAGGGCCCAGTCTTCTTTTTTTAAATCCTCGCCAGCCAGAGGGTGTTTTTTTTTTTAAGATTTTATTTATTTTCAGAGAGAGGGGAAGGGAGGGAGAGAAATGTCAGTTGGTTGCCTCGCACACGTCCCCAACCAGGGACCTGGCCCGAAACTCAGGCATGTACTCTGACTGGGAATAGAACCGATGACCTGTCAGTTCACATGCTGGCACTCAGGCCACTGAGCCACACAAGCCAGGGGGAGGATGTGTTTTTATTGATTTTAGAGAGAGAGGAAGGGGGAGAGAGAGAAAATCATCGATGGGAGAAACATCCATTTGGGGGTCAAACCCATGAACTAGGTATGCACACTGACTGGGAATCAAACCTGTGACCTTTTAGTGTAGGGGACAATGCTTTGATTAACTGAGCCACCCAGCCAGGGCCTAAAGTCTGTTCACTTTTTAGCTGAGCCGTAACTCCCACGCTGTGAGATTCACCCCTTTATGAGCGTGTGCAATTAAGTGTTGCTCTCCTGTTCACACAGTGGGCAGCCATCACTGCTGTCTCGTCCCAGGTGCTCCGTAGGTCCAGAAACACCCTGTGTTCCCACCCCACCTGGCCGCATACCTCATCCCAGACACTTCTATGTGGCCCTTTGTGGCTGCTCCTTTCACCCAGCCTTTGGGTCATCTCTAGTTTCCTGCTACTGTCAGCAACAGCACTGCGGGAACATTCAGCTCAGGTCTGTGTGGACACCTGCTGTATTTCTTAGGCACACCTGGAGTGGAGTTGCAGGGTCGCCTGGTAACTGCTTCCCCTCTGAGGATCTGCCAGACCATTTTCCACAGCAGCTGTCTGGCCCCAGAGCCATGCACGAGGGCCCCCGTGCAGCGCCTGTGTTTACCGGGTGTGACCCGAGTGCCGTGTGAGCCTCCATCCTGCTTTACCCCACAACACCGCGAGACGGTCCCGTATGATGCACAATCCTCTTGTCCATCAAAAACAACATCAACAAAAACAATTTGTCTTCTTCCCTTACCAGAGAAGCATTATCCATTATTGTAAGAAAGTTACAGTTGCACTTTGGGTTCCCAATGGAGACAGTCAGTGACTGCTGTTTTGGAGGCCGTGACACCCATGGGCCTTGTCTACCGGGGGTGCCCCTGGGTGCTTTCCAGTTTTCCCCTTCTCTGAATCTTGCTGTGATGGATTTTTAAAATGTGCCTGCAGGAAGCATTTTCTGAGGTTTGGGTTTCCCCTCAACAGGTGGAGGAGCAGGGTCATGGGTCAGAGGCTGCCTTGCGATTGGTCCATGTTGCCTGGACTGTGTGGGTTTTACCCGCCCCTGGCTCCCTGTGTTGCAGGTGCTGGATGCTCAGCACTCGCAGCATCTCGGGGTGGGAGAGGTGGGGAGTGGGGGCTTCTCTGAGGGGGGTGAAGCCCCGAAGCCCTGGTGGAAGGTGGCTGCAGGTGGGCACATCTCCTTCCTGTCCTGACCTCACGTGTCCTGGGAGTTGTCCCTGGAGCCTGGCAGGCCCTGAGTGATCTTGCTGCCCTGCCATGGCTGCTGCCGTCCAGGTGTCTGTCCTTGTGCCTCCAACCTCGTTTCTGCATCTGTAAAACAAGTGTGATGGTGCCCACCTCAAAGGGACCCGCATTTCTAATGACTCTCCAAGCCCGACCTGGCATGTGAGGCCCAGTGGGAGAATCTGAGCACGCTCCCGCCGGCCTGGATCTGCCCGGGTCTTTGCATGCATGGTCCCTGTCTCTCCTTGCATGCCTCTCCTTCAGCCCGTGCCTCTGTGCCTGACTCTCTTCCTGCCAGTTGCGGCCCCCGTCCTGGTCCTATGGAACTCCTACATGAGAATGTGGGGAAGGACTGAGGGAGGCTGTGTCCATAGGTCTCCATGCGGGTTGGAAAGGGGGCTGTCACTGGGGTGTGCTGGTGGTTCTCGGAGGATGCAGCTTGCTTGCTGCACTTCTCATCCCCCAGACTGTGTGTTGCCTTGGGCTGGTCCCCTGTTTGGTGGAGACAAGAGGGCCAGGCCGTTTCTCCACCATCCTTGCTGTCTGCAGAACCAGGCCGTGGGGGACTCTGCTGCGAGCAGTACTTGAGCTAAAACGTGCCCCCCGTCAGGCATCCCATAAACTCTTTTCTTCTCTCTCATCCCCTTCTTACAGGGACCCACACATGGAGCTGCGGGAAGAGGCCTGGTCTCCGGGGCCGCTGGATTCTGAGGACCAGCAGATGGCTAGTCACGAGAACCCAGGTGAGGTGGCCTCCGCAGGTGTCAGCGGGCCATGCCCGCCCCCCAGACCCGTGTCTCTGGGAGCACCCATCCTTCCTGCAGAGGCCCCTCCTGGGCTGGGGAGAGTCTGCAAGTTCCCTTCCAGCTGCCGGCCTCGGGGTCGCCTGTTCACCAGCCCTTGTTAGGTGTCGCTCCTGCTGCCCCCATTCTGCTGGCCGCAAACTTGGAGGGGGGCCATTGCTGCTGGTGGCCGGGACGTCACTGGTAGAGAAAGATCGGACTGCAGGGGAAGCTGGGCATCTGGGTTTTTGTGTGAAATCTTTCACTTTCAATTCGGCAGCGGGTTTATTTAATAAAGTATCTGGGTTGAATAAAACATCCTTAAGTGGAAGCCATGTTCCCTGTCCAGGGGTTTCATGCGGGGCACTCAGGAAATAGAGTGTGATATCGTTCACACTGCTGCCCGTGCGTCTCCCCGGTGTTACTGGGACGGCCGCTGCGGAAATACTTCCGGTGCGCCCCGGTAGCGGAAGCAGCAGCTGACTGCGGAAGTGAGTGGGTGCGACCGCGTACTAATAAAACTATACGCAGTGCGGGCGCTGAATGTGTATCCCTGCTCCTGCATTGCCTGGATGTCTGCGGGGACAGGTTGCGGGGCCCTGGGGATGGGAAGGGGTTGTGATGAAACTCTCCGGTGCCTTCTGCTTACACGTCTGAGGTCCGCGGAGGACCGGGAGGGGCCCCTGGGCAGGTTCCGCCGCCTTGTTGCGGGTGAGCCGTAGGGGCCATGGGGCCTGCCCCCGTCCTCCCGTTTTCATCCTGGGCCTGCTCCCTCCTCTTTTCTGGCCTACGTCCTTGGCCGTTTTGCTTTTCAAAAATTAACTTGAAAATCTGGTTCACTGGAAATTTCAAACAAATAAGCAGGGTAATGACTGTCCACTTTGCCCTACCAGCCTCGGTGGTTAGCAATACTTGGCCAGTCTCCTTTCACCACTGTCTCCCTAGTTCTGTGGGTTTGTTTTTCCTAGAATATTTTAATGAAAATCCCAGACATACCATTTCACCTATAAATTCTCCAACAGAGATAAGGATTCAAAAACAAACAAACAATCCCAACCAAATGAGAAAACCAACTACAGAATGTTTATCTCACATAATAAAAAGTTACTCCTTATATGATCTAACACCCAGTCCATGTTAAAATATTCAGAGATGTCTCCAAAATGTTATGTGTCCCTTGGAGTAAGCCAAGTTTTAACTTTACAACTCACTTGTTAATGTAGTTCTTTGCATATAACATTCAGGTGGGTTCTCATGTTCTCGTTGTCTAGCTTGCTATCCCCAACCTGTTTAACCTGTCAGGACTCTGTTGGAAATCTCTGCTGGGGTGCCAGCACCTTGTAACGTCCCCTAGCTCTGCTGACCTCGGTCCCACCTGTGAGGTGACAGTGCTGGGCTGATGCCCCCTGGGAAGCCAGGAATAGCTCCCTGGTCCTGTCTTTCTGGCCTGTGAGGAACCTTGGGTCTGGGCCTGGGGCAGGCACATGGGCGGCCAGAGGGCCTCCGTGGAGAGGTGAGTGACTATCTCCTGGTGCAATTCAGCCTAGCAGACTCCCATCCCAGCACAAGGAGCAGCCTGGCCCTGAGATGCCCTGGTGCCCCTGGCCAAGTAAAGTCAGGTCTTCCACTGACTTTGAGGCTCCGGGGCCCCAGAGGAGTCACTGAAGAGAAGGAGAGAAGGGAGGTGGTGAGTGCATGCTGAGCCCCAGTGGGTGGAGAGGCTCTAGGTGATGGCAGGCAGGGTGCCGAGGGTCCCTGGCGTCCTCATGTCTGTCATGGTCCAGGTGCAGCTTCACTCCGGGGAAAAAGTGGGTGGTGTGAGCCCAGACTCAGGCATCCAGTGGGATGGCCCTGCAGTCTCCCTCCAGCCTGACCCCACACACACTGGACTTCTATGCATGTGCTCCTCCACTCAAATACACTCTGAAGGAAGCTGGTCGGCTCTGCCAGACCCCAGCCACTGGATTGCCAGATCGCCGGCTGCACTGATTTTCCTACCGTCCCTGTGTCCACCATTGGCGTCCACCCTTGTCCACAGCTATCAGCATGAACCTCTTGAAATGGAGGCCAGGTCCTGGCTCATCTGGAGTGGTGCCCATGCCCTGCGCTCATCTAGTCTGTGGCCACCTGGCATGTTGTCCCCAGCACAGATGCATCCCAGCACAGTTGATAGGAGCACTAACTTGTGTGGTGTCACCAGCGGGATTCCAGCAAAGACCGCCTGTCTGGAGAAGGCCATCTGAGCACAGGCCTTGCTGAGGAAGGGGCTGCCTGCTGAAGGAGATGTGGTGGCTGATGGACAGCTTGAGGAAGGACATGAGGCTGCGTGGCAGGGCCTGTGGGGACCCTTTCAGCTGTCCCAGGGAACCCACCCAGTGGTGGCTCCAACCAAAAAGATGTTGAATGGTCCTTGGCACCTGGCTGGAGGCAAGCAGTTCCAGGAGTGGTTAATTCAACCGTTCCTTTGGGAGCCACCGGTGTCCAGGCCCTGGTGGCCTCTTCTGTGCTGTCCAGGGTTGGAGCCTCAGCTCCAGCCATCACTCCCTCCTAGGAAACCACCAAGGACAGAGAGACAGGAAGGAAAGGAAGGGTGGGGTGAGGGAGGCAGGGCCTGCTTCCTGGGCCCTCCTTTAGCCCGCAGCTCCAGTCTCACTGGCCAGATTGGGACACGTGACCTAGGGAGGTGCCCTTCAAGTCACCCTGACTGGTTTATTCTGGCTCAGCGCCATGTTTGGGACTCTGGCGAGGAAGAGGAGACTGCCCCTGCATCTTCCTGCACGGAGAGTAGCATCGCGTGGTCTCACAAGGACTCCGGGAGCTGTCTGGAGCCATCATGGGGAAGGATGCTGAGCCTGGGGAATGTTCTGTGGAGGTGGCTAGCTGCTCTGGAGCTATGAGCAGCCTTTCCCCAGGCTGTCATGGGCCAGAGACTCCTTCCCCAAGGCCAGTGGCTTTGTAAACGTAGTGTTCCTTAGAGACCTCGGGCTGGGTGGTAGGGCCTCAGGATGAGATGTCTGAAGAAAAGATTCCAGCCCTCTGTCCTCAGAAGTTTGGACTTCCCTGCCCCGATGACAAGGAGGCACCTCGAGAGACGTGGTGGAGGAGACAGTGTCCAGCAGGCCAGGCCCCAGCTGCCTTCGTTCTGGTGCAGTGGCTCCCACTCCCACGGCGTGTCCTCGTGACTGGTCAAGGCCCGGAGTGGACTACAGGATTGCTTTGTGGGTCTGCACATGCCCCAGGCGCCTGCATTTGTTTACATGGGTCTGAAGTAAAGTTCCCCAGGACAGCCCTGTGCCTACTGACAGCACAAGAAACGTCTCTTCCCACCTTCTGTCATTCACCTTCCGGTCAGGTTGGCCCTGCTGCCGGGCTGTGGCCCGTGGTGACCACGCTGCTCGGGCCGGCACAGCGCTTTTCCAGTCAGTGACTGAGATGGAAGAGGACTAAGGAGTCAATTTTGCTTTCAGATGAGATCGACTTACCCAGGGCATTTGGGAACCTCAGAAATGTTATCCTTTTCCCTTGTATGTGAACCTTGGTGGGGAGTGAGTGTGTCCAGATTCCCGATGCTGTTGGTAGTGGCTCTTGCTCCGTGGATTTTCCCTGTGTGCCCCGAGCTCTGCACTGGGCACCCTGGGCCAGTGGGTCATCTCACGGAAGTCTCTCACCCTGCCTGGTCGGGACGCTGATGGGAGGTGCTGGGTGCAGGGACGGCAGTCTGCCGCACTATCTCACGGGCAAGTCCATGATGGCGAGGAGGACAGATCTGCAGCCCAGAGCCCAGTAGGCTTCCCAGCTGCGGCCTCGGGCCCGTGTCCTGGTGGCCCCAGCCTGGGGTTCCCAGGGTGGGATGTGAGGGGTGTGGGGCCAGGCAGTGGGGGTGTAGCAAGAGCCTTCAGGTCCATCTTGGGTCCTTAGCTACAGGTGTTCAGAAAGAGAAGCAATCCAAAAAATGAATAGAAATATGAAAGATCCTGAATCTGAGGAAATGGCAACAAGATGGCAACCAGTGTCCTGGGAATCACCTGCAGGGGATGGAGCTCTGCTGTCCCCTCAGCTCACTGTCACGGGTCGTCGAGCTCTAGACGCCTCTGAGAGGTCACCTCAGATGCCGCACCTGAGCCCTGGATCCGAAAGCCCCACATAGAACACAGCCCCACACGGCAAACCCCCCTGCCCCAGGGGGCCACACTGACAGCATGCCCTAGGCACGCAGACGTCTCTGTGAGCCCGGAGCAGTCGGATGGGGACAGACCAGCAGCCACGTGCCTGTCTGGTGTGACCGTCCTTGGTACCTCGTGACCTGCTTCACATATTCACCCGTGTGGTCTCGGGGACAATGTGGGGCGGTGTGTGCCTCACGGTGTGTGGTGCTGGAACACCGGAGTGTGCTCGGGGCACAGCTGGGCCACGCTGGGGTGGTCAGCCCGCCGGAGCCCTCTGGCTGGCCCAGGCCCAGCCGGCCGGGGGAGCAGGAGTTGCAGCAGGTGCACAGACCTGTCTCCAGGTGGATACAGGGGAGGTGGCCTTGCTCCTTTATCCCTGGAGACTGCTCAGGGCCAGGGTGGTGTAAGTGTGCGAATGGCTGTGGGGGTGCCCTTGGTTTGCAGGCGGCAGGACCAGGGCCCCGTGTGAGGAGGATGTTCTGTAACAGCGGCTGCATTCCGTGAGGGCAGGTGGGGACTGGGACCACTGGCTGGCCTGTGGTCCCGTTCACCGGGCTGGTTCGTCTTCCTTCTCTCTCCTCCACTCTCTGGCCAGGGTCGTGTCCTGCAGCCCACAGGTGATGCCATGGCCCTCCAGCTCGGGTGCCGTCAGGGTTCCTGGGCCCCGCCACCGTCTCCCTCTCAGTGAGCTCTCCCCAGAGCCTCCTGCCCCCAGCCTGGTGTCCCTGCTGCACTGCAGGCACTGTTCCGGGGGTGGGGTGACAGCTGTGAAGTCCCGAGGGACTGGGAGTGGACAGGTGACTGTTTAGTGAAGAGGCAGGACTAGTGGTGCTCTGAGGGAAGGAGGGTGGGGGAGGGGTGGAGACGGACAGGACACCTCCGAGGGCCAGGGTGGTGCAGACAGGCGCGCCCTACCGAGGCCAGGTGTGGGGGGAGCCTGGGAGGCCGCACAGAGGCCGGTGGGACAGCCCAGGTGAAGCCCCCTGCCCTGCGGCTCTCATACCTGGGTGGGTCCTATGTGAGTTTCTCTCTGACTCCTGTCCCCTCCCACCCTCTTGCCTCCTAGTGGACATCCTCATTATGGATGATGACGACGTCCCCACCTGGCCCCCGACCAAGCTGTCCCCGCCCCAGTCGGCGCCCCCCGCCGGCCCCCCGCCTCGGCCTCGGCCACCTGCGCCGTACATCTGCAACGAGTGCGGCAAGAGCTTCAGCCACTGGTCCAAGCTGACGCGACACCAGCGCACGCACACGGGCGAGCGGCCCAACGCCTGCACCGACTGCGGCAAGACCTTCTCGCAGAGCTCGCACCTGGTGCAGCACCGGCGCATCCACACCGGCGAGAAGCCCTACGCCTGCTCCGAGTGCGGCAAGCGCTTCAGCTGGAGCTCCAACCTCATGCAGCACCAGCGCATCCACACGGGCGAGAAGCCCTACGCCTGCCCTGAGTGCGGCCGCAGCTTCACGCAGAGCAAGAGCCTGGCCAAGCACCGGCGCTCGCACAGCGGCCTGAAGCCCTTCGTGTGCCCGCGCTGCGGCCGTGGCTTCAGCCAGCCCAAGAGCCTGGCGCGCCACCTGCGCCTGCACCCGGAGCTGTCGGGGCCCGGCGTGGCAGCCAAGGTGCTGGCGGCCAGCGTGCGCCGGGCCAAGGCGCCCGAGGAGGCGGCGGCGGCGGACGGCGAGATCGCCATCCCTGTGGGCGACGGGGACGGGATCATCGTGGTGGGCGCACCGGGGGAGGGGGCCACGGCGCCTGCAACCGTGGCGGGTGCGGGGGCCAAGGCGCCAGGGCCCCGCTCGCGGCGCGCGCCGGCCCCCAAACCATACGTGTGCATGGAGTGCGGGCAGGGCTTCGGGCAGGCGGCGGGGCTCCTGGCGCACCAGCGCGCCCAGCACGGGGACGGGCTCGGGGCGGCGGGGGGCGAGGAGCCTGCGCACATCTGCGTGGAGTGCGGTGAGGGCTTCGTGCAGGGCGCGGCGTTGCGCAGACACAAGAAGGTCCACGCGGTGGGCGCGCCCTCCGTCTGCAGCCGCTGCGGACAGAGCTACTACCGGGCTGGCGGGGACGAGGCTGACGAGGACGAGGCGGCCGGCGGCCAGTGCAGCGAGTGCCGTGGCGTGGAGGCTCGGTAGGGGTGGGGGGCCCGAGGGGGGGCAGGGCCCCTCGGGCTCGGCGGGAGCGATGGCGCAGGACCCAGAGACCCAGGGAGAAATGGACTGAGGGCGCCCCTACCCGCAGCGGCCTCAGGGAGGGGCGCCGGGGGGCGGGGGTGCTCGCCTGGCCTCCGCGCCCTCTCCGAGCCCTGGCGCTGGACCTGGCCTGCCCCTCATAGGTTCTCGGCAGAGCCCGAGGTAGAGGATGTGAACTAGAGACCAAGAGACGACAAACCCACTGGCGAAAGACCATTTCCTCACTTTCTCTTCCCCCACCGTTGGGGGCGTGGCAAGGAGTGGAGAGGGAAGGGAAAGAGGGGTCCTTTTCCCTTTTAGAATTTTCTTTTAATTGTACCCACCCAACCCCACCCACCATTGTTTTTCTTCTCTCCCATGGGTTCGTTCTTTTTCTTGCCTAAGCCCTCTCTCCCCAAACGGGCCTGGGGCACAGGAGTGTGGGAACGGAACCAGGCCGGCACAAGGCCCCCTCAGAGAACTGGGGTCCCTGTGTCCAGGCCTGGGCGGAGGCGGAGGGGTGCGGAGGCCAATAAAGGGCACTATCCGATTGTCTTTGCTGCGCCTGCTTCTTGAGTCGGGGAAGGAGAGGAGGGCCGAGCCTGTGGAGGGACACCGCCCAGGGGCCAGGACCATGGAGCACAGTGGCAGTGGCTGGGCAGCTGCCCAGCGGATCCATGCCCACCTGGGCTGTTGTCCCTGAAGGTGACGTGACCTGGGCGGCTGCTGTGGGCTCTGGGTCACAGAGGGGTAGCCACCACGTGTCCAGCCTTGTGAGGAGCTGCAGGCGGCTGCTTTTCAAAGGAACCCCTCAGTCTCAGTTAACATACGTCCTGTTCCTTTGGTGGGGGGGTGGCATTCCTACACAAGGTGGTGAGGAGCCTGTGCTGGCCTCCTCCGCCAGCCCCAAGGCCCCTCCCTCCACCCCCTGCTGGGAGTGGGCCGGCTTGGCCTGGAGATGCACCTGGGCCCCCTCCTCACATCCCACTGGGGGGCAGGGTGGTCAGGGGGTGGGGGGTGAGGTTGGGTCACGTCTCATTGCAGAGGAGGCTGGAGGTGTCCCTGGCTGGGCTGCTCCTTCCCTGGGATGAAGCCACACTGTGGGCCGAGGGTAAGGGACGGGTGGGCAGTCGCCTGTCTGCCTGGGCGGGGTCCAGCTGCAGGAGCCAGCTGTGGGGCGGGGTGGCCATTGGTTCGTCAGGGTTGGGCCCCTGGTGTCAGTTCCAGTTTCCTGGACCCCACAGCCGGGGGCCTGGGGACCTGTGTCTCTGGGATCTCGGGAGACGGCTGTGGGTGGTCCTGTTGAGGAGAGATCCCTGCCAGGGGCTGTTCTCAGAGGGGTTGGTTGATGGGTCGTGGTCGTGCAGAGGAGGCCGGAGAGGGCCCCACGCTCCTGTAACCTCTGCAGACAAGGAGACGGATGGGTCACCAGCTGAGGAGGGGCTGCAGGAGGAAGCGAGATTTCTGGTTTGAGCCCCAAATCGGCTAGATGGGGCTCTGTCACCCTTGAGCAGATCATGACACCCCCCCCCCACAAGGGGACCTTAGATATGCAGAGGTTGGGGGTGGCCCCCGGGTTGGCAGGGTGGGGCTCCTTGGAGGATGTATTAGCCCACCGGCATGATTTTTAGGTCAGAAAGGCATGTTTTCAATCCCGTCACCCTGCTTGGGGTTGGCAGACCCAGTCAGGGCGATTCTGACCTTTCAGGTCACATGTTAAGGGAGGGACAGGGTGGAACTCGGCCCAAAGAGAGCACAGGGGCTCCAGGGCTGTGACAGCACTGCCCGGTGTCCCCAGGGCCCGTCGGCGGCCTGTGGGCCTTGGGTGCTTCTGGAGGCAGGAGGGAGGAGGAGCATTGTGGGCACCAGGGTGGACAGTGGTGCCCAGGCACTCCCGCAGAAGCCGGCAGTGGGGTTCGCCGCAGCAGCTCAGGGTGGAGCCGGGAGGCGGACACAGGGAGAGTCCACTCTCATGCTGCCTTGTCCTCGGCTTCCTGCCCAGCAAGGGGTGGCAAGAACGGTCCAGGGCTAATTTCCACGGCCCCGGGGCAAGTGAACTAGCCTCTCTGGCCCTCGGGGCCTCCTCTGAGCAAAGAACTCGCCTGTCCCTGTGACTGTTTCAAAGGCTCCCCTGGGGGTGTCTGTTTCAAGGGCTCCCCTGGGGGTGTCTGTCGGGGCCTGGTGCTCAGTCCCCGAAGGCATGTTTTTAAAGTCTGGAGTGAGCCCACCTGAACACACCGGTGGCCCATTTTGGTCTGAGGGCCTATGGTTTCCATTGCTGCAGCGTGGATGCCAGGGGGCCACGTGCTCAGCACAAACAAGCAAGCAGAGGGGTGATGTGCAGTGGCGGATGTGGGGCTGATGAGGCATCGGGAACCCCTTCACCGAGTGCACCCGTGTCGAATCAGCGAGGAGCACAGGCTGAACATCCGACCGTTTTCCCTGCCCTCCACCCTTCGACAGAGCTGAAAACATACAGTGAGAGTCAGGGTTTTGGGAGCCCGCATCCGAAACCTTGGCCTCCTTCTCAGGGTCTTGAGCCAGGATTTTAAAAGTCCGATGTTACTTTAAAAATCTGGATTTTCCTGATTTCTCTCGGAAAAAATCAGGTCTGGACAGCCGTGGTCGTGCGGAGGAGGCCGGAGAGGGCTCCTCATTCCCGTAACCTCGGCAGACAAGGGTCACCAGCCAAGGAGGGGCCACAGGAGGAAGTGAGATTTCCAGTTTGAGCCCCAAACCTGCCCCCTGAGACTCTGCCACCCAGGGCTTTGTATTGAACAGAGACAGCTGGCAGGAGGGGTGTGTTTGTCTGTCTGTCCTTCAGAGTCAGACGCACCCCCAAGCCCAGAGGCAGGGCTGCCAGTTGTGAGGCAGGAGACAGCACAGGAAGAACTCTGAGGCTGCAGTACTGCCACTGACCAGCATTTATCACCCTGGTTGCCAGGAAATGCCTTTTACCAGTTAGGTAGAATAAATAGTAAACCGAGGCAGGAAGGAGACAAATCTCACATGCTAACTCAGCAGTCCTGAGCCTGCTCTGATAATATTGCCAGGTGTCCTGACATCACAAGAAACACTGTGTTAGCAAGAAAGAAGGGAAGTCCTTGAAATTCTATGTAGCATTTCTATTATCTGGGAAAGAAAGCCTTGAAACAGTGCTTTTATCCCAAGACCTGGAATGTGGGAGAGGGTCCCTGGTGCCCCAAAAAAGAGCCCATAAAACAACGTTGGTTAATTGCCGATCTCTGGTCACTATTTTACAAGGGGGTCCCTGATGCTTACAGAAAGAGCCCAAAATAACTTTGGAAAGTGCCCCAATTTTAATTAACTGCCTCCTGTCACGTATTTGTTTTACAACAAGGTGAACAAATGGGGCCTGGAGCAAGATAAGGATTCAGGATAACAGACCCCCACACATACCTAAGTTTGGGTAGTCACATCCCCCCAGGAAAGCTGGCACCACCTTCCGTTAATATGTAACTTTTTCCCTCCTATCCCACCAACTACATAAATCCTCAGAACAAAGGTGTCTCTCTCTCTCTCTCTCTCTCTCTCTCTCTCTCTCTCTCTCTCTCTCTTGGCTCTTGGGCCACAGGGCCTCTGGCCACCTGGCCTCAAGCTGCCCAGGGGCTTGCCACCCTGGTCTCCAGCCTCTCTTGCTTTTCTCACCCTGCTTTGCCCTGAAACTTTCCCTTTCACCTCCCTATTCTACCCAGTCCTGTTCTCTTCCATGGGAACAGGCCACTAATAAACTGATTACATACTACTAGATTTGCTGATATGTAATTCTTTACATGGGTCAGCAAGAAGAACCAGGTCTCCCCCGTCAACAGTTGTTATTGGTCACGGGGACCCTGACGCAGGGGTCTGTATGGCCTGCAGACCCAGGCTGCTTGGGGATTCTCTTCCAGCTGGGGGAGTTGGTTCTGGAGGCCAAGTGTTTCAAGTCTGGGATACACACTCTACATTGCAACCAGGAAAGGCAGATATAAACTACATGCAAATACCACGTCATTTTACAGAAGGGACTGGAGCATCCGAGGATTTTGGTACCCATGGGGGCCCCGGGGAAGGGGTCCTGTAGCCAATCTGCCACAGATGCTGAGGAACAACTACATACATCTCTGGGTGGGTGTGTATTTGTGTGTCTCTGTTATAATCCACTCATCTTTTCCCTTCCACTTACCTCCCCAAGAGGCAAAACATTTTTTAAATTTTTATTTATTTTCAGAGAGAGGGGAAGGAGAAAAAAACATGATGTGTGAGAGAAACTTCAATGGGTGGCCCCTCGCATGCCTCCAACCAGGGACCTGATGGGCAACCTGGGAGTGTGTCCTGACTGGGAATCAAACTGGGGACCTTTCGGTCCATAGGCCGGTGCTCAATCCTCTGAACCACACCAGCCAGGACTGAGGGAGTTGGACAGAGCAGTTTTGCTGCTCTAAGGAGCCTACAGGAATCTCTTCATTCCTGTCCTGCCACCAGCAGCTGCGGCTGCTGCATGAAGGCGGGGGTGGGGGCGGGGCGGTGCTTTATGTTCTGACAGGTAAGGCCTCTCCCCCGGAGGGCTGCTGTGCTCCCAGCACTGCAGGAAGTGACTGTCCCTGTCTGCACTCCCCACCCCACCCCAGGGAGGGGGAGGGGACATGCCGTTAAGGGTTTGACAGGGCTGATATCTGACTCAGCGAGGGGAGATACAATTTCTTTTTTTTTTATGAAACTTTTTTTTCCAAGCAAATATTTCTTTATTTTATTTTACTTTATCAATTTTATTTTTAGAGAGGGAAGGGAGGGAGAAAGAGAGAGAAACATCAATGTGCGGTTGCTGGGGGTCGTGGCCTGCAACCCAGGTGTGTGGCCTGACTGGGAATCAAACCTGCGACACTTTGGTTTGCAGCCCACACTCAATCCACTGAGCTACACCAGCCAGGGCCAATTTCTTTTATTTATATATTTTTAAAGATTTTATTTATTGATTTTTAGAGACAGGGGAAGGGAGGGAGAGAGAGAGGAAGAGAAACATCAATGTGTGGTTGACTCTCATGTGGCCCCCATTGGGGACCTAGCCTACAACCCAGGCATGTGCCCTGACTGGGAATTGAACCAGCAACCCTTTGGTTTGCAGCCCATGCTCAATCCACTGAGCTACACCAGCCAGGACCTTTTTGGGGTGGGGGTGGGGTGGGGGCAGGTTGGGGGCAGTCAGGAGGAGATACAATTTAATGTGCACCTAATGCATGCCCGGCGCTTCATGGACATCTTGCCTGAACTTTACACTGACCCTGGACAGAGGAGAAGCTGCCTTAGAGAGGAGACCCAAACACTGGGGTCAGCCCCCAGGTTCTGCCATGCCATCGTCGCTGGATTTTGTTTCGGCAAAGACACTTGCCTGAGACCTGTGGAGGGTGGCCGTCACCACGGGATGAAAATACTGCCCAGAACCCCATCTAGCTCAGCAGCTCCCTCCCTCTGGACCCCCTGCTCCTGGACCTCAGCGGCCCCTCCCTTTCCTTGGCCCCTTGTGCTGCTGTGGATGCGTCCAGAGCAATGTACCCACGGCCTCTGTGTGTCGACTGAGCTGAGGCATGCAGGGCAGAACCACTCCCTGCAACCCTGGGAGGTGAGGCTTCTTGTTCTGGAGCTTCCTGGGGGTGGGGGGAAGCTTGGTGGGGAGGGGGTCTCTAGAAAAAGGCTGGTGTCTCCTGCCACCATCTGAATTCTTGAGAACAGCACAGCATATGTGAATTAGTGAAAATATTTATTACAAGATAACAGGATTTGCTGTTACCCATGGGTTTGCCTCTTCTGGAATGTCGGAATTGGACTCATGTGGTGTGGGGCCTTTCACGTGGGTTTCCTTCCCTCAGTCACATGCATCTGTGGTTCCTTCAGGTCTTTTTGTGGTTTTGTAGCTCATTTCTGTCTTTTAACATCCTCACACGAGGATTTTTATGACTGATTTTAGAGAAAGAGGAAAGGAGGGTAGAAGGAGAGAAAGGGGGGAAGAGAGGGAGGGAGAGAGAGAGAGAGAGAGAGAGAGATCTGTTGCCTCCCGCAGACAATCCTCCCGGCTGGGGATTGAACCTGCCACCTAGGTGTGTTCCCTGACCAGGGATCAAACCTGTCACCTTTTGGTGACCAGGGCAACAAATTAACCAGCAGAGCCACCCGGCCAGGACTTGCCACATCCTTCTTAGACATTCAGATGGGTACTCGTTAAAGGTTTATTTTTACCACCACTGGAGTCGTGTTGTCAAAATTCCTACGTCCTGCCACCTCCGCTCTTGAGCAAGAAGGACGCTTCACACCTCTGCAAATGCTCAGTGTTTATTGGACGTCATCTGAGAGGTAGGACAGACATTTTGCAGCGACTTGGGTCCTGCGACTTGCAGCCTACGTCTGAGGCCACCATATGAACCAAGGTACAAAGGACACACAGGGTCACCGCCAGCGGGGGGCTTTGTGACAATCAGACATCTGTTTCCGCTTCCGAGGAGGAGCGCCCCCCTTTGGGGCACAGCGTACTGGGAGCAGACGGCCTTCAGGTCGAGGTTCCTCCGCCACCCAGAGCAGGTGGGCGGGGTTTCCTGGCTTCGGTTTTCCACCAGTACCGGTCGTCCTCGTCGAAGGAATACCAGTCATCGCCAATCACCATGTGGGGCTTCAGTGCCTGGACCTTCTCCAGCAGTTTTCTTGTCGGACCAGGATATTGCCACTTCCACAGCCTGGCAGGGAATGGGCGGGGGGTGGGGGGGGCACACAAAAAGGGCTCATGACTCCAGGAATGTGCTTCCTACTCTTCTCCCTCCCTCCAGATTCCTGGGAGCCTCCCATCAAGGATCTGAAACCTCTTGTCTGTGGAGGACGTTGGTATGCTCCCCAGAGAACAGAAGTCAAGTCTCTGTCTTTTACAGGAATCGGCCCCTGGCCGCAAACCTACGGGGCAGGCCTGGCCGAGTCACCGAGTCACCGTGTCCTTCTCGGGAACCAACGTTGTGCCAGGTCCTGCTACAGGGTTTGGAGGCACAGCGACGAACACGGTGATGCCCCCGCCCTCACACAGCTTGTAATTCAGAAGAGGACGAGGAAACAGGTAATCACATAGATACCTGGGGGGGGGGGAGGGGAGGAAGGGGAGGGAACAGGCCCCCAAAATGGCAATTAGGAAACTCCAGGGGTGACTTCTGTTTCTCTGGGGAGCCTGTTCGTCAAGAGCTGATTTTGCCTATGGCTGGGCTGCTTCCTCCATCCTGATACCGATGCTCTCTCTCCTCCAACCCGAATCTGCCGCCTCTCCAGCTGAATTGAAGTCCTTGCTGTGAGCTCACTCTCTCTCTCTCCCTCTCCCTCTCACCACATCGAGACCCCAAGTCTACTGAGCCGTGTTCTCGAACCCACCGCTCACCTCCTGTCTTCCTTTCCCTCCTGCCTCCCACTCAGATCCCGCACTACAACCACTCTTTTGCGGGCTGCTCTTGACATTCATCAGCTGAAACCTGACTCCGGGATAGATCAGGGAGCAGGGCCACAGCGGAGAGGACAGCTGCTCAGCTGGGCAAGTTTGCTCTTGCTATAAATACGTCACAGCCAGCCCCAGAGGACTGTCCACTGTAGTCACGTCTCAGCGAACCATTTGGGGGCGCGAAGCACATGCACGTTGTTGTGTGACCATCACCACTGTCTATCCACTTAACTCTTTTCTTCGTCCTCAGCTAAAACTATGTGCCTATGCCCTGGCTGCTGTGGCTGGGTGGACTGAGTGCCAGCTTGTGAACCAAAAGGTCGCTGGTTCGATTCCCAGTCAGGGCACATGCCTGGGTTGCAGGCCAGGTCTCCAGTTGAGGGCGAGCTAGAGGCAACTGATTATGTATCTCTCATACATCTATGTTTCTGTCTCTTTCTCCCTTCATCCCCCTCTCTAAAAATAAATACAATTAAAGAATATACCACTATGTGCCCAGTAAACGACACAGTCCTCTTCTTTTTAGTTGTCCCAGGGCACCCCCACCCCACCCCATTCTACTTTCTGTCTATGGATTGGACCAGTCTAGGTACCTCACACTAAGTAGAATTATGCACTATTTTTGTCTTTTTGTGTCTGGCTTATTTCACTCAGTATAATGTCTCTACGGTTCATCCACATCATAGTAGGTGTCAGAATCTCCTTCCTTGTAGAGCTGAATACTAAATATTCCACTTTGTCAACGGACCACATTTTGTTTTTCCGTTCACCTGACAATGGACACAGGGTTGCTTCCACCTCACGGCTATTGTGAATAAGGCTGCTGTGGAACACAGGTATGCAAGTCTCTCTGAGGTCCTGCTTTCCATACTTTTTTAAAAAAAGATTTTATTTATTTATTTTTAGAGAGGGAAAGAGGAGGAGGGAGAGAGGGAGAGAAACATCTCTCAATGTGTGGTTGCCTCTTTAGCGCCCCCCACTGGGGACCTGGCATGCAACCCAGGCATGTGCCCTGAGTGAGAATCAAACCGATGACCTATGCTTCGCAGACCGGCGCTCAATCCACTGAGCCACACCAGCCAGGGCCATACTTTTAATTACATACCCAGATGTGGAATTGTTGGCTCAGATAGCAATTCTATTTTTTAGTTTTTTGGGGGATAGAAACATTTCATTTGTATGTTGTCTTTCCACTCTTCCCAAACCCACCCCAGAGTAACCTTTGTGGTATTGGTGCCTTGCCTCTATCTCCCATCATCCCTGGGTCCCCAGCACCCAGCCCAGTGACTGGAATGCAGCGGATATTTGGTTGGATAAAGATCCACCAACTTTGCCATGATCTTACTTTCTCTGATAACCCCCTTCTTTGCCAACTAGCATGTAAGAGAAGGTTTGTGTCTGAGAAGACAACTGCCAGGACTCACCCAATAACTTGTAGATTAGACATGGGGTGTTCGAAGGCTGAGCACAGCTTCTTTATTCCCTCAGGAGTGAAATTATTCCGCATGAGGTTCAGGCTGCTGAGGTGCTGGTTGGAGACGAGAGCCGAGGCCAGGACCCCACAGCAGTCAGACGTCAATCCACATGCCTCCAACCTGCAGGGAGGGGGCCCCAAAACATCCCCAAAGATCAAAAATTGATCTTTCTTCCTTCAACCCAATTGACTTCCATCCTCATTGTTAAAAAAAAAAAAAGAACAGGGGCACCCAAGCTGGGTGGCTCAGTTGGTTGGAGCATCGTCCCATACACCAAAAGGTTGTGGGTTCTATTCCCAGTCAGGACACATGCCTGGGTTGTGGGTTCAGTCCCCAGTTGGGGCACCTAGGGGACGCAACCAGTTGGTATTTCTCTCTCTCCCCCTTCCTCTCTCCCCCCAAAATCAACACACATACATCCTTGGGTAAGGCTAAACAAGAAAAAGGGGAACTGTGGGCTCCACTCCTAGAGTTTTGGACTCAGCAGTTCTGGGGAGGGACCAAAAAAAAAAAAAGTGCATTTCTAAGGAGTTTCCAGACACCACTTCTGGTTCTCATGCCGATAGCTGCTGATGACTCATAGTTGTGCAAAGAAAGGAAGGTAAAGGGTGAGAGTGTCTATAACTAGGACACAAAACAGGGAACACAGAGAAAGACTTGCCGAGAAAGTGCAGGACCTTTCACCTAAAACTGGAGAGTGGAGAGGAAGTGTGCTCAGTGGGCAGGGGGCAGGAAGGAGTGGTGTGCTTAGGAAATGCAGTGTCCCATGTCCTCGTGGAAGGAGGGAGTGGACACCTATGTCGACAGGGTGTCTGGAGTGGATCGGAGACAGCGGTGTGAGGGGAGGCTGGGTATTTTGGGGTCCCATGAAGGGTTTAGGATTTTACCCTCAGCATGGAGACACCAAAGAGCATCGTTAGGTGTGATAACAGTATTGTAAATTGTAACAGGGTTCTCATACAGGGTCTGGTACAAATAACACCCCCTGTTTAAATTACAAAATCATAAGCGTGCCATTCTGTAACATAATATCACACTCAAGCACATCATATGACCTCTTAGGTGAAATGTTCAAATTAAAAGTATAAATTATTACACCATGTTATTATCATACCAACTGCACTCAAGCAAGTCTCACTTCTGCCAGACCCTGTGTATTTTAGACATGTATGTTGGGGTACATGGGGGTGGAATGTTAAAACCGATAACTTGGTATAACTAGTTCACCACCAGGTAGGTAGGTAGTTTAAACTAGCTGGTGGGTCTAGAAGTTGTAGATGTCCTGATTCCTGTGGATTTGGTGTATTTGGGAATTCTGAATTGGGAATTCTGCCTCATCATGTTCTCAAGGTTCATCTATGCTGTAGCCTGTGTTAGCACTCCATTCCTTTTTCATGGCCACGTAATATTCCACCAAGTGTAACAGAACCATTTTTTCCACAAGCCTCCTGGGCAACCCTGAGGCTGACACTTGGTTTGAGAACTGCCAGTGTCCCCACTGCCTTTCTGGCCCTTCTCTCCTTTTAAACTGTGTATTCTGCAATGCCAAAACCTATGCACCTTGGTCCTGCCACCAGTTGGCACCCTGCCGAGCACCCAACTCTTCTGATGAGCATGTATGGAGGGCTTGTGACCTCCAGACAATGCTCCCAAGCCCCTGCCATCCCCCTCCTTCCACAGGTCGCAGCCTCGCCCCACTCGGCCCTTAGGCCAAGAAGGTCCTGAGTTCCTGGAATCGTGGGACTCAGATCCTGGTCTCCATTCCAGCAACCTCGTGCTCGGGTTCCCCTCCCTCTGTGCTCAGCCCTCCAGGAGGCGACCCTGGGGGCCTACCCGAGTCTCTTCAGACCTGTTGTCCTTTGCTTCAGTCCCTCACACAGGGCTGCCACCCCCACATCACCCAGGGCATTGGCGGCAAGGTCCAGGCTCCTCAGGTGCTTGCTCCGGGTGATCACGGTGCACAGGCTTTTGCAGCAGGCGGCTGTGAGGCAGCATTTCATCAGCCTGCAAAAGGACACATGTATGTGTGTGTGTGCGTGGAGACAGAGCAAGAGACAGATACATACAGAGACAGAGAGAGATATAGAAAGACAGAGAGGCAGATATATATGGAGAGACAGAGACAGAGACAGAGATATAGAGAGACAGATTTATATATATATATATAGAGAGAGAGAGACAGATATGTATAGAGAGACAAAGATACAGGGAAATATAGAGATAGATTTATATATGTGTGTGTATATATATATATAAATATATGAGAGGGAGGTAGAGGTATATATATATATAGAGAGAAACAAATATAAAAAGATAAATTTAAATACATATATAGAGACAGATATAAATATATATACACACATATATATATTAAACTGATAAGAACAGATACTATACTTGATTTTTAGCCAAAAAGCCAAGAAGTGATTGAAAGATAGCTATATATGAGAGATAGATAGATATGTATAGAGAAATAGACAGAAATATATAGACAGATTTGTAGATATATAAATAGGGAGAGAGAGACAGAGAGAGAGAGACAGAGAAAGATATGTATAGAGAGATAATTGTAGAGACACAAAGGTATATATATGTCTACATATATATATATATATACATGTATATATATATGGAGAGAGTGATAGAAGTGTGTGTGTGTGTGTGTGTGTGTGTGTGTGTATATAGAGAGAGAGAGAGAGACAGAGACAGAGAGAGAGAGACAGAGACCAAGAAAGGGAGAGGGAGAGACATGCAGAGAGGTAAAAGGAGCAGTGCACAGGTTTCGGAGATTCACAGCAACCTCCAACTCCATGGATCCTGTTCAGAATAATTTCTGTCCTTCCCACACTCACTGTCCTGTCCAACACTTCAACTTACACACAGTGTCCACTGGAGACCATGAGGCTCCAAGGACCCTGGAGCTTCCATTTAGGTTCCAGGCCCACTACTCCTAGCTCCTGACAATCCAGGAACCTCAGCCCCCATGCTGGTAGAGGCAACCCCACACCCCACAACCAGGGGAGACTCACTCCAGGTCTTGGAGGTGACAGGATGTTTCCACCAGGACCTCACACAGAAGGTTGATGCCATCATCTCCCAAGGGGTTCACGCTGAGGCTCAGGTGCGTCAGGTGACGGTTGCTCGTTAGGGTGAGGGCAAGGAAGCTGCAGCCCAGGATGTCCAGGTTGCATTCTCTGAGCCTGCAGGGCACAGGCAAGGGAGAGAGAGTGGACACACACCTGACTCAGTGTCCCCTTGGGGAAGCCACTTTAAAAAAAGAAATCCTTGAACAACAATTAAAATAAAAAACGAAAAAGAAATCCTTACTCAAGGATGTTTACTGACTTGAGAGAGAGAGGAAGGCAGAGAGAGGGGAAGAGGGAGAGAGACATTGACTGGTCGTCTCCCGTACCCACCCTGACGGGGGCTCAAACACAAGACCCAGGTCTGTGCCCTGACCAAGAATCAAACCCACAACGTTTTGGTGAAGAAAACGACACTCCAACCAACTGTGCTACCCAGCAGGGCTCAGCTGCTTCTCTTAGCCTCTCTTGCTCCTCATTTGGGAGGAGATTGTGCTGGTATCTAAGAAGATCATCTAGCATAGGTGACAAGATGACCCGGATGTTCTCAGCACAATGCCTAACCTGAGTGCTGGACGCTTCGACCCTCTCTTTCCCATTTTCTTTCCAACTCAAGGTATGAGTTGCCTGTTGCCGTGGTCACAAACCACATGCCTTAAGTCACACACGTCGTCCCGCAGCTCTGGAGGCCAGAGCCTCACTGTCAGTGGGACCCTGTTCCTTCCGGAGACTCCAGGGAAGAACTAGCTCCCTGCCTTTTCCAGCGTCTACAAGCTGCCCAGATTCCTCCGTGCCTGGTCCTGGGCCCGCAGCCTCACCACATGGACCCTCATTATCGAATCTCCTCTGAGTCTCTGGGCTCCTTCCTTCCCTTCTAAGAACCCTCGTGATGACACTGGGCCCAGGCAGATGACTCGGGGTCACCTCCCCATCTCGACATCTTTCCACATCTGCAAAGTCGCTTTTGCCACGGAAGGTCCTCTACTCACAGGTTCCAAGGATTAGGACACGGACAACTTTGGAGGAGGGGTCAGATCGTTCTATCATTCCATCTACTGTACTCGGGATGTCCCCATTGCCGAGTTACCAGGGGCCCTTAGAATGCTAAAGGTCATAGACATGTGCATTAAAGTTCTATTCTTTAGCAGAATTTCTGGTTGTAGGTCTACCATGAACTCGTATATTTTTCGCTCCTGTGGAATCAGAGGTCAACAAGATGGAATGACAGAAAGCAAAGTGATTCCACGAAGCAAGCTGACAGTACGGAAGAAGAACAACAAAAATCTCTCATTCTTACCATCAACCAGAGATTTGGTATAACCCTGGCTGGACGCCTCAGTTGGTTGGAGCATTGCCCCATACAGTGAAAGGTTGCGGGTTTGATCCCCAGTCCGGGTGTGTGGGGGAGGCAACTGACAGATATCTTTCTCTTTTTCCCCTCCCCCACTTCTCAAATCAATAAACATAGCCTCAGGTAAAGAATGAAAAAGATTTGGAGCCCTGGCTGGAGTAATTCAGTGGATTGAGCGCGGGCTGGGAACCAAAGTGTCCCAGGTTCAATTCCCAGCCAGGGTACATGCATGGGTTGCAGGCCATAACCCCCAGCAACCTCACATTGATGTTTCTCTCTCTCTCTCTCTCTCTCCCTCCCTTCCCTCTCTAAAAATAAATAAATAAAATCTTAAAAAAAAAAAGAACCACTTTGTTAAAAAAAATATTTGGGATAGAGAGTCAATTTAGCCACACAAGGAGGCACTTGTTAAAATAGCCCTAGGGGCACCTTACCATACAATAGTGTCCTTCTGGCCACACACACACTGTGTGGCCATTGGCTCTGTGTCACTGTTCAAAAACCTCACTGACTTACCATTCAATTCACCTCTATCAGAATTTAAGCCGTGCAAAAAAATAGGGACCCCATCCATCTTTCATCTCCCTATCACTAGCAGCTAAGAGCGTGCACCCAAAGTAGGGGCTCCATAAATACAGCCGACCTGTATAGTCACGAGTTCTGTATTTGGGAGTTTGCCTTCTCACTCAAATTTACGGGTGACTGTCCCCCCATCAATACTCATGGTGCTCACAGTCCTTGATGGACACACGCAGAAAAATGGGAGCTGCCTGTCACTCATGTTCCCAGCTAAGGTTGAACTCACGTCCAGTTCTCCTCCTGCAGTGAACAAACGTCCTTTCAGAGAATGCCACATTTTCTGTGTCTCTGTGGTTTTGGGGGGTTTGTGGCTTCATTGTTTAAGATGTGGAGCTGAAGTGTGGTCTAGTGTGTTGAGCACAAGAAAGCTAGGGTGTTTCCAGAGCTTGGCTATTGTAAAGCTCTGGAAGCAGCCCAGGTGCCCATCAGGAGCTGAGTGGCTAAAAATGCTGTGGTGCATTCACACGGTGGGAATGCTACACGGCTTGTAAAAAAAGAAGAAACTCTTACATTTTGCGATAACATGGATGGGCCTGGAAATAATTACGCTAAGTGAAATAAGCCAGTTAGAGAAAGACAAACAACCCATGATCTCATTTATATGTGGAATCGAATGAACAAAATAGAAACAGAGGCGTGGACACATGGAGCAGACTGACAGCTGTCAGAGGGAAGCAGGGGAGGGGAGACTGGGAGAAGGTAGGTGAAGGGATTAGCCAAAGAGAATATATGCTTGACCCATAGACACAGACAGCTGCGTGGTGATGGCCAGAGGGAAGGGAGTCGGGTGCTAGGTGGAGACGGGCGCTGGGTGGAGACGGGCAACGGTGAGGGGTGGGGAATGGGAACATCTGTAATAGTGTCAACAATAAAAATAAAGTTAAACAAGAAAACTGGGATGTGTTTTAAGGAGAAAAAACACGTATAGCATAGGCTTTGTTCAGGCACGATTCATACCACTCTTGACCACAAGTTCAATATTAATGAATCCGCAATACGTATTCAATATGGGGTTTTAAACCAAAACCACCCCCAACAAGGTTAGCTATGGATCCATGGATGAAAATGTCATGACCTTGGCAATAGGAATTGAACCCCGTGTTTTCCCAGGGTATCAGGGTCCACTCTCAGTAATTCAATGTTCTCTCTGACTTTACAGAATGTGAATACCACACATCGTGACAATCGACTGTATTTGGACAAACAACTTTCCACCACAAGCAAATGTAAACACACAGAGAGAATTTTCCAAGGGAGTGTGAACTCTAGGAGGTGATTCGTAGGGACACGATGGGTCACGTGGCAGGCACCTCCTCCTGAGCATTTGCTCCCTCCCCACTCTTTTGAGACAGTCACATGCCATTTACCACAAAGCCACCAAGTCCTCACAGGGGAGTGCATTTGACTCACCTCAGCCTCTGTAGAGCACAGGTGACAAGCTTTAAGGGTCGACACAATGCAGTCACACCTTCTGCCACCAGTGTGTTGGCGGACAGGTCCAGGTGTGTCAGTCTCTGGTTGCAGCAGAGCACTGAGGCCAGGTCCCAGCAATTGGCGGCTGTGAGACTGCAGTTCCCTAGTCTGCAAGAAGACAGCCCAGAAAAGAAATGAGGAGGTCCGTGCATCACATGCCTTGCTTCCATGCAAGAGGAGAGAAATGTCACTCCCATGGCTGGCATGCCCTCACAGACATACGGCGATGTCACATCGTGTCTGTGTTTACCTCAGGCACTCAACTGCAACGCTTCCGTCCAACAAGAGGGCTGAGCGTGGTGGCGGGTTAGACCTGCGGGGCCTACAATGGGAAACCCAGAGGCCTCGTGACTCTGCTCACTCATCTGGTTGTTTCTGCTCCCACTTGCACTACAGGGCAAGGCTTTTGCCAAGACAAGTGACCTTGCTCTTTAGGGGAACCTACATTCAACACGTTGTGACCCTCAGACGTAAACGAGGTCACCCGTCCATTTTTCAAAGCTTAGGAAGCAATCAGACTTTGAAAGTCAGGGTTTATCACACCCTCTGTTGTGGCCTGGGGGCAAAGTGAAATAAACGAACCCATCTAACGTGCTTAAAGCACACCCTCTGTGTTATTTATTGATAGTGATCTGTTTTGACAAAGGGATGCTGGTTGGGTTGGACTTCAAGAAGACACCCCAAAATATGCCACTTTTGGATTATTTTCAGCTAATGGCAACTGAGAAAAAGCAGAAACAATAAGAACTGTCTGCCTTCCCCACCACCTGCCTAAAAGTGTGGCAAAGATTTCTCTTGTGCAAGTGTCCCCCTCTCTTGTACCAGGGGAGAACAATGGCCCTTATCACCAGCAATAGAGAGGAGTCTTCATTTAATCCTTATCTACCTTTAATTCTCCCCATATATGTCCTAGTCATGTTCCCACAACTTATCAGCCCTAGAAGCCCCCATCCCCTTTTCTTTGTCTAATTACTTCTCCATAATTTATTGCTTTTTGTTAAAATGGTATATAAGTTCCTGAGTCTACCCTCTCCTTGGGTTTCTTACTTCCTTTCTGGGACATCCTCACATACTTACAAAATTAATATCGATAAAATTTGCATGCCTTTTCTCTTGCTAATTTGTGTATTATCAGTTTAATTTGCAGGCCCCAGACCTGGAACCTAAGAGGGAGGATAAAAAGTGTGTGTGTGTGTGTGTGTGTGTGTGTGTGCGTGTGTGTTTTGTTTTCCTCCTTTAAAGACTAATGAAGAGAAGATATCTTGCTCCTACTATTACCTTCTACAAAGGGTACTCTGTGTTATTATTTGCTTTTCAACTTTTGCTAAGGCTTTAGAACTGAACTCCTGCTGAAGAAGGCATGTTACATACTTTGGAAGCGGTGTGGAGAAACCACCTTGCCCAGGTTGGAGGACAGACAGCTCCGGGGAATGGATCCGTTCTTGAGGGCTCAAGCAGAAGCTCCTGCTTTGGCTGTGCCCTGCACTCCCTGTGTGACCTTGGACAAGAGACCTCCCTCCTTCTGCTGGAGCTGGCTTTCTACGTCAGCGAATGGCAGGGAAGCAATTCCTACCTTCTAGGTTGTTTGTGAAGATGGTGTTAATGGGGAACAGAACCCTTAGCCCAGCCAGCAGGTCTAACCACAAGCCTTTGCCTCCCTGGGGTTTCAGCATTGGTGAAATTTTCAAGTATACCACACAGCATTGTAAACACCCAGAATTTACTCATCTTATGACTGGAAGTTCGTACCCTTTGATCAACATCTCTTCATGTGCCACCCACTGCCCCTGCCCCCTCCCCGCCCCCCAGCCCTAAGTAACCACCATCTTCTCTTCGAGTCTATAACTCTGCGAAGACACAGGTGTTGCTTATTGGGTCTCTATTCCCATGAGATCTGAACTCCCACTGCAATTCTTGGCTTATGCATCAGCCAGTTCCCCTCTTCCTCCCTGCCCCCCTCCTCCCCTCCCCTCCCCTCCCTTCCCCAGTACGTGGTTGGCCTCAGTTCAGACCAAACAGCCCCCGTGAAAGGGAGCCCCACTCACATCAGCCTCTGCAGGGAACACTGGGAGACCTTCATGGCCTCGCAGAGAGACAAGACGCCCAGGCCTGCCACCTTATTTCCAGCGAGGCTCAGACATCTCAGACTGGTGGAGGTCAGCAGGATTTGGGAGAGCAGCTGGCAGCAGGGGTGGGTTAATCCGCAGTGATCTAACCTGCAGACACAGCTCCAGTGAATCACACCCTCGTCTGTCCCCAAGGCAACCCAGCTTCCCCCACTCCCTGCAAACCAGCGTCTCCCATCACCCCCTCTGGCTGGCGCCTGGACCCTGGCTGTTGTGGCTTCTGGGTCTGAGCACCTGCTGTTCCTCTATTTGTAGCATCCTTGCTCGTCCCCAGGCCGAAGTCTTTATGCAGTTTAGGCTCTTGTTCAGAACTCCTGAATCTTCCTTCTTCCAAGCAAGCCTGTCTCATTACCTTCAACCCTGCCCGCCCCACCTCACCCCTCTCCCTCTCTCCAGCATGATTTTATTCACAGCATTGGTCCCCTGCAAACACTCCATCTATGACATACAAAACCGTAAGTGTAATGTATAAACATGGGGGTTTGATATATTTAGCGATGGTAATATAATTGCCATTGTAGAAATAGTTACCACTCTATCAGATCACATAGTTGCCATTTCTTTCTTGTGGTGGGAATAACCATGACCCAGTCCCTTAGGAGAACAGGCAGTGATTTTCTCTGCAAAGAAAGCCCAGGGAAACCCTTCCTCCAGGAAGCCCTCCTCCAGCTCTCTTGAGTTGCTTGCTTTCCATTAGGCAAACACTTTACTGCCTTTATTTTTATTTTTTTTAAGTTAGTAGAGTGGCTTAATCTTAATACAAAACTTTTATATCCTTTTGCTTATAGAACATATAGGTCTTTAATGCCAGGTCTAAATGCCAATACATATTTGTATCATATATTTAAAGACAGGTCTAAATACCGATACATATTTGTATAGTATATTCAGCTTCAGGCAAAGATTTCTCCCCAAAATTTATGTAAATGAACACATACTTGAGTACCTAAATAAATAAATGAGCAAGTCTCTTAGCAAGTTTGGTGTCTATTATGCAATATCATTGTCTATAATCATTAGTACATGCATTGTATGCCCACGATCTGCCGTATTTCACCATATATAATATGCACTTTTTTTGCCCAAATTTTTGAGGGAAAAATAAGGATGTGTATTCTACAGGGGTAGTACCTGGAATACCTTTTATTTGTTCTTGTGTTTGGTAACTATTTGTTACATAAAATTTCTTGTACCATAATATGTTAAAAAATAAATGGTAAAATCCCTTTAAAATGCAACCCTCCAGAAGTATCTAAATATAAATAAATAAATTAATTAATTAAAAAATTAAAATGAAAGATTTTTTTTCCCTAAAAGTTTGGGCCAAAAAAAGGGGTTGCACACTAGACACAGGTGTGCATTAAACACGGCAAAATATGGTACTTGTCTATAAGTTGCAAGTTTGTAGTCTTAAATAATATCTTCTGGTAACTGGCGTTTTACTCTGTTTTCACAGATTCACCTTTTAAAAGTAATTTTACAGTCCACGTGTAAGTGATATCCTACAGTATTTGTCTTTCTCTGTCTGCTTTGCCTACTCAGCAGGATACCCTTGCAGTCGACCCAGGTTGCTGCAAACAGTAGGATTCCTTCTGTTGGCGCAGCTGGGTAGGTTTTTTTTTTTTTTAAACTATGCAAAGCTGTTCCTGCTTCCACGTGAAGGCAGAGCTGGACTACATTTCCCAGCCTTCCTTGCAGTAGGAGCGATCACATGACTGCGTTCTAGCTCGGAGAATGGGTAGGGGAGGTTTTGGAGCGCCCCCTCCTTCTGTAAGCTGAATGTCTGTGCCCAGCAGGGTCTTGGAAGTGTTAATGGCAGAATCTTTGCTCGCTTGGACATCCATCTGAAACCCCTTGGGCTAATTCTGTAGAGTCAAGAAATACCCTTCTGTTATTTTTGAGCTGTTACGCATTTGTGTGTGTATTTGTTCCAGGACCTAGGAATACACTTCTGCATAGACCACGATTTCAAGTACGGACTCTTGAATTGTAGACCAACATTTTGGAGTCCTCCAAACACACGTGTTGATGGTGAATAACTGGGGGGTTCCTTGGTCTTGGTGTACCCATGGGAGTCTGTGAGCACCCTGAGAAAAGGAACCTGCTCCCACTCATTCTGCACATCGCGGGACCCAACGCATAACGTTAAGAACATCATCTGAGCTCCCTGTTTGCTGAATGCATGAGAACATTGAGTTTGCACCTCACAGTGAGTTTGCAATCAAAACGCTTTACTACATCTGCCGGTCTGTCTTTCTGAGCTGTCTCCCATTTGGAGGTGAGCCAATCAACCATCCCCCGTCCCCCTCCACCCAGTGCGTAGGTCTGGGACTACCGCAGAAAGCGAACCAGAACAACACCCCTGTCCTCGGAGTCACCACAACAGGGCTGCCACCTCCCACCACAGAACTTTGCACGCTCTCTCGGTCCCCAGTAGCCTCTCTCCCTCTCATCTTTTCTAACAATGTGTCTCTTCCCTATTTTATTTTATTTTATTTTATTTTTTTTTTGAGCTGGAGCTCCAGAGAGACTCAGCAGCTGCTTCCTCTTCATTCCCAGAGATGGTTGTAACACTCACCTGTGCTGGGCAAACACCTGTGCACTAGGGTTCTTTAAGGCCTATCATGCCCTGGCTGGCTGGCTGGCTGGCTGGCTGGCTGGCTGCCTTGAGTTACGTTCTTAAGAGGGACGCTTGCGAGCTACACAGCTTCCCTGCACTGTGTGTGTGTGTCAGAAAATAAAGCTGGAGACAGAGTTCGTCTTCTGTCTCAGGACACCCTGGGCGCGGCAGTGCCTTCAAACCAGGTCACTCGAACCGACAACACCCTGGCCCCAGGATGTACAAAACTGTGGTCACAGTCCCAAACCTGGGATGACCAAAATGTCCCTGGAAGGGAGAATGGCGACACCGACCGTGGTACATAGTTGCCACCCTATGGCACCCAGCAATAAAAAGAAACACTCAGCCCCAGCTGGGTAGCTCAGCTGGTTACAGCGTTGTTCCCATATGCCAAGGTTGCAGGTTCAATCCCCGTCAGGGCACAGACAAGAATCAACTAATGAGTGCATAAATAAGTAGGACAACAAATCAGTCTCTCTCCTCTCTCTCTCCTCCTAAAAATCAACAAATAAAAACATGCTAAGGATACACAGAATGGGTCAGGTGGATCTCAAGGACATCTGCTGATAAAAAACAAACAAAAAAAGGCAACCTCATGCCCTGGCTGGTGTAGCTCAGTGGACTGAGTGCTGACCTGTAAACCAAGTGGTTGCTGGTTTAATTCCCACTCAGGGCACATGCCTGGGTTACAGGCCAGGCCCCCAGTGGGAGCCATGTGAGAGGCAACCACACACTGATGCTTCTCTCCCTCTCTTTCTCCTTCCCCTCCCTCTGTCTAAAAATAAATAAATAAAATCTTAAAAGAAAAAGGCACCCTCAGGCTGTGACATGCTGTGTGATTCCATATACATATGTTATGGGCAGGGGTTGGGGGGGGTAGGGTGGGGGTGTGTGTGCAGCACGAGGGGGTGGCCTTTGTGTATCTTGGTCACACCGTGGTCTCACAAATGCACACACACTGGCATTTTATGTGATACAATGACGTAGAGGGGCATACATTCATCGTGACTCTGTCGAGGTCCTGGTTTTGACATTGTACTACAGTCATATAAGATACAGCCACAGGGAGAAATGGGCTGAAGGGAACCCACGACCCCTCTGTGATTTTTTAAAATGTTTATGAAACATCAAAAGTTACTTTTTTCTTGTGGTAAAATAGACACAACATAAAAGGGACCATTTTAAGCATTTTTAAGTGCAGAGTTCAGTGGCATTAAGTACATACATGTTGCTGTACAACCATTCCCACCCTCTGTTGCCCGACTTTGCCATCCTTCCAACCCTCTGCAATATTTCTGAAACTCATCCTGAATAATCATTTCAAAATAAAAAGTAAGAGTAATATGACAGCAACAAGACAACCGCCCTCCCACATACAATCATAAAAGCAAAAACCTTAGTCAGGACTTACCTTAAAGACTCCAACACACAGTTAGGGTGTTTCAGCGCTTCGTATGCTATCCTTAAATCTTCCTCCTTCAGGTGAGTGCTTTCCAAGTTTACGTACTTAATACTGGGGCTGATGATGAGCGTCTTCCAGAGGTGATGGAGACCAAGGGTAATCTGCGTACCTTTAAATCTACGAAAGAGAAACAAGAGAGTGTGAATTAGGTGCATGGTAATGTTTTCTTTCCATGTCCCTCCCATCCCAACTTCCATCTTTTGTTAATTTGCATTTATTTAATGTTTTAAAAAATATTTTATTTATTTTAGAGAGAGAGGAAAGGAAGGAGAAAAAGAGGGAGAGAAACATTGATTGGTTGCCTCTTGCCTGTCCCCAACTGGGGATCCAGCCTACAACCCAGGCATGTGCCCTGACTGGGAATCAAACTGGTGACTTTTTTGGTTCACAGGGTGGTGCTCAATCCACTGAGCCACACCAGCCAGGGTGCATTTATTTAATTTTAAAGCAACAAATACTTAAGTGCCTGTGGTGCAGCGGGAACTGGGAGGAGAGTATTTTCAATGCAAATACTCTGTTCTCCTGAAGCTTAAGCTAACAGAGGAGACAGTCACCAGAGACACACGAAAGGATATGCTTAAGAATATAATATGGGCCCTGGCTGGTGTAGCTCAGTGGATTGAGCGTGGGCTGTGAACCAAAGGGTCGCTGGTTTGATTCCCAGTCAGGGCACATGCCTGGGTTGTGAGCCAGGTCCCCAGTGGGGGCCATGTGAGAGGCAACCACACATTGATGTTTCTCTCCCTCCCTTCCCCTCTCTCTAGAAATAAATAAAATCTTAAAAAAAACCAAACCTGTTAAAAAGAATGTAATATGATACATGAACAAACAAAGTCAGACTAACTCATAGAGAGAACATTTTGACAGTCACCAGAGGGGAAGCGGGTTGGAAGGCTGGGCAAAAAGGTGAAGGGATTGAGAAGCACAGATTGGCAGTTACAGAACAGTCACGGGGATGTCAAACTCAGCACAGGAAATACAGTCAGGAATATTCTAATAACTATGTATGGTGCCAGGTGGGTACTGAAAGTATCGGGGGGTGGATCACTTCATAAATTATATAAATGTCCAATCACTGGTATGCTGTATACCTAAAACTAATATAATATTGAATATCAACAAAAACTGAAAAATAAAAACTTAAAAAAATAAACTGTCTCCCCCCAAAAATAAACTATGGTATATCCATTAATAACAGAACTCCAGCTCTAGCTGGTGTAGCTCAGTGGATTGAGTGCCAGCCTGCAAAGGGTCATCGGTTTGATTCCCAGTCAGGCCACATGCCTAGGTTGTGGGTCAGGTCCCCGGTTGGGGGCGTGTGAGAGGCAACCACACATTGATGTTTCTCTCTCTTTTTCTCCCTCCCTTACCCTCTCTCTCAATAAATAAAATCTTAAATGTCCTCCCCAACAAAAAAAATAGAACTTCACACAGCTCAAGTTGAAGAAAAAAGTCCAATGTCAGAATAGCACGTATAACATGACCCAAAGGGTTAAAAAAATTCATCCACCCATATGGGCATATAATTTCATGGAAAATAGGTGAGATGTTGAGAGCTGTTTACTAGGGAAATCGGAAGTTCAAGAGGCGTGTGGGGTGGGGGTGGGGTTTACTTATCACCTTTGTGATCCCTAAATCTCTGCCATGACGTGAGTCACTGTTGTATTACAAGTGCTGTGACAACTGAGATTAGAACAAACCACAGGGTGTGACCGGAGTTTAAAACAGGGACAGCTACTGGGGAGGAAAAGCAGTCAGGTAACAGTGACAGGTGCAGGACTGAAGATGATAAGGGCCTCGTTTGCTATTCTGGGATCACCACGCTCCTTGACACAGCCCCGTTGAAGGAAGGCAGAAAGATGCCCTGGCTGGTGTGGCTCAGTGGATTGGGTGCTGGCCTGTGAACCAAGGGGTGGGCAGTTCAGTTCCCAGTCAGGGCACATGCCTGAGTTGCAGGCCAGGTCCCCAGTAGGGGGCACATGAGAAGCAACTACACTTCAGTATTTCTTCTCCCTCTTTTTCTCTCTCACTTCCTCTCTCTAAAACTAAATAAATAAAATGTTAAAAGAAAAAAAAAAGCAGGAAGAGCAGTGAGGGTAAGATGTTTGCAGCCAGGAACCTAGTTGTGTTGCCACATGGGCTTTCCTTGGTCTTGAAAGGAAAATTAAATCAAACCTTTGAAGTTCAATGAGCCCTTCATCTCCCACTGCAGGTGCCTGGTGAGTACCCTGGGGTCTACAACAGACCCAGAAACTATTAGACGTTCAAATATTTGTGACCTGATGGATTAGCCTAAAAAACACTAAGGAGTGATTTAAGGGCTTCTGTAAATCATTTACTTGCCTGAATTGAACTCCCCTCTTTTCTTCCCTACTAACAAAATCCTATTTATCCTTCAAAACCCTGAGTAAACGACCCCCACCTCAGTAATCCCTACCCGCAAGGTCTTTAGTCACTCCCCACCCTGTGCTTTTGGGAACTTGGTTCCTATACCTCCCATAGCACATGTCCTTTCCAAATACATTTTATAGGTTGGTCTTGGGAGGTAGGCAAGGAGACCTGTGACAAGCCCCACAGAGGGGCCGAGCGGCCTTACATCAGCTTCTGGACTCTACAGGTCGGCTGTCTCAGCTTGACGCACAGGGTCTTCATGGCCCATTCACTCAGGATGCTGCCGCTGAGGTCCAGCTGCTGCAGGCTCGGCTGGGCGCTGAGCACAGAGCAGAGGTTCTTCCACCACTCATTCACCAGGGGCTTGATCTGCACCCTGCAACGGAGAAGGAAAGAAACACTTGCCTGCACAGGATGGATTTGATCATGAACACTGGCCACAACCGTGTCGGAGAAGAGAGACCAGGCCATCAGAACAAGACAGGGATGGCTTTAGAGGCTCAGAGGACACTTCAGGGATGTTGCTTCATGCTCTGCACGTGCACACTCCTGCTGTCCCCTCTGTGTCCTGAGTGTTGGGTGCCCAGGGGTATGGAGAGGATGATTGGGAGACTCAGGCTGTGGCATCAGATTGTGTTTAAATTCTAGCTCCCCTTTGAACATAAAATGGCGCAGCCACTATGGAAAACAGTATGGAGATTTATCAAGGAATTAAACATAGCCCTGGCTGGGTGACTCAGTGGATTGTAACATCATCCCATACACCAAAAGTCTGTGGGTTCGATTCCAGGTCAGGGCACATATCTAGGTTGTGGTTTGATTTCTGGTCGGGGTGCATACGGGAGGCAACTGATCAATGTTTTTCTCACATCAATGTTTCTCTCTCTCTCTCTAAAAAAAGTCAATAAACATTCTCCAATGAGATTAATAATAATAATAATAATAATAACAAAAACTTCCATATACTCCAATAATCCCACTTATATGCAAGATTTAACATCAGGCTCCTAAGAGATTATTTGTACTCTATGACTCACAACAGCCAAGGTACAGAAACAAGTTAAATATCTGTGGATGGATGAATGGATAGAGAGAAGGTTGTGCACACCCCATGGGATAATATTATTCAGCCTTAAAAGAGGAGGAGCTGCCTGCCATCTGTAACCACATCGGTAAATGCAGAGGACATCATGCTGAGTGAGAAAAGCCAGATACAGAAAGATGTACACGATCTCACCTACAGAATCTAAAGCAGTCGAAGTCACAGAGGCAGAAGGTGCCTGGTGGTTGCCAGTGGCAATGAGGCAGGGGTGTGGCGTGGCGTGGGGCATGGGCGGTGGGGGTAGGATGGGGCAAAGGGCACAGAGTTTCAGCTGCAGGAAAGGGATAGCTAAAGCACAACTATCATTAACAGTTGGGTGTTGCACACTTGAAATTTTCTAGGAGGGGAGGTCTCGAGTGTTCTCACAGCGCACACGCACAGGAACACGGGAGCCAGGTGAGTGATGGCCATGTTCATTAGCTTGATTGCAGCCATGATTACCTCAACACAGTAACACCTCCCTCGAGACAGAAAGGAAGACACTGCAGAGGGACACACTCACCCTTGCAGAGTGACCAGCTGTGCCTCAGTAGACTCGTCTTCTGAGAAGATCTCTCTGACGTCCATTCGAATTTTCTGCAGGTTCAGGCAATGCTGGACACAGAAGGAGGACACGAGGAGGTCCATCGGCCGGCTCACCATTAGCCTCACTTCTTGGAAGTCTTTCAATGCAGAACGGACAAACTCTTCATCTTGGGTCTCAAAGAGACAGTAGAAGGCGTCCAGGAAGTCCAGAGTCGAGGAGGTGTTGGCCTGTTGACCCAACAGAGAGACCCAGTGGAGAAGCACCCGCCTCACCACCAGGGCAAGGGGACACCTCAGCAAGTCCTTCAGCGTCCTCACCAGCTCTTGGTTCATGAGGCCAAACAAGAAACGCTTCATCTGGAGCAAGTGGACGTTGAAGCTGACCTGTTTGAGCTCCTTCGACGTCTTCATGTTCTCCACATACAGAGGGTGGGGATACCACTCCATTTCCAGTCCTTCTAGCACATAGTACAAGGCAGCACAGAACTCTTGCAGGCTTGGGTGCAGGAATGTGAAACACCTGTCCTCGTGGGTGTCTTGGAGGAGGATGTTTCTGCGAAACAGAGAGGAGAGCTCCAGCTCTGTCAGTCCGTGGACGGCCAGGTCATCGGGGTAAAACACAAACTTCATGGTCCAGATGCCCTGCACGGCCATCCGGCACAAACCCTTCAGAATGACTCTTTCCTCCGGACTGAGACCACGCCCTGGGGCATCTCGAGGGGTGAGCTGATGCACCACAAAGGTAGTGTACAAGCCTGTGAGCACCTGGCAGGTAGGGAGCAGGCTCTTTCCTGATGCCACCTGCAGCTCGAGAGCCTGACAGAGGAGTGACCACACAGTGGACACCTTGCACATATCAATCAACATGTGGTTGTCTACCACTGAGTGCAGGAGTTGCATTTTTTGGTCCTCATTCTTGATGTGCTCGAGGAACAACTGGATCCTTCTTTCCATCGAGATTCCTTCGACAAAGAGGTACTGGGGAGTGGTGACCATGGCTTTGAGCTTTTCCACACCTACATCTCTGACGGTGACTATTAGGGAGGACTCTGGGAACAGGACCTTTCTCAGCAGACTATATATCAGGATGGACCCCGTCTGCTTCTCTGTCCAGTCGGTACAAAGATGCATGTTGGTATCTTCGAAGGCAGCGTTCAGGTCGTCAAAACCATCGACCACAAACAAGAGCTTTTCTGGCTGGGACAAGATCTTCGTCGTGGGGTCTGAGGAGCCTGGCCACTCCCTGAAAATTAACTCTGCAAAACTGCTTTTCTCCCTCAACAGTATGTCTCTGGCATCAAGGAAGAAGATGTAGGAGAACAAGCCCTGGTAGAGCTCCCCATGGGCCCAGTGCAGCAGGATTCTTCTGGCCAAAGTCGACTTCCCTACCCCTGGTCTTCCGTGCAGGACCACGGTGAGAGGCCGGAAGCCCTTCTGGTCTGGCGTGAAGACCCCAAACAATGTTTGCATTTGTGGACAATCAGAGGCAAAGGTTTCAAAACCATGGTGGGCACCCAATGTCCCTGCGAACTTTTCCATCACATGATGTTTGTAGAGCCACTCGTCACCTCCATGGTCTACATGGGGCCAGAGAAGGGAAAGGGAGAGCAGGAGGCAGAGTTTGAAGGTGGGCTGGATTTCAGACATTCTATGGGTATGAGACTTTTTGTTTCTCTTCAGCAACCTGTTACTGGTGATGAGCTCCATTCCTCATCCCTTCACTCAAAGATCACATCCTCAAAGGCTTGCAGACTTTCTACCAAGTAACTCTGTTTGTCCCTTTAACCTGATCTTTCTTTTCAGAACCTAATAGCTGAGACCTTATATTCTTTTTTTTCCTTAATATTCACCTGAGGATTTTCTTTTTTTAAATTGATTTTGGAGAGGAAGGGGGAGAGAGAGAGAGATCAGTCTTATACATGCCTTGGCTGGGTAGCTCCGTTGGTTGGAGCATCATCCCATACACAGACAGGTTGAGGGTTTGACACCCCATCGGGACACATATCTAGGTTAAGAGTTCCATCTAGGTTGGGGTGTATACAATCAATGTTTCTCTCTCACATCTCTCTCTCTCTCTCTCTCTCTCTCTCTGTTTCTGTCTCCCTTTCTCTCAAATCAATAAAAGTAACCTCGGCTAAGGATTAAAATCCATAATAAAATAAACAAGTCACTCAACTTGTCTCTCTATTTAGCACCTGCCCAACGGACTGGTCCTGGGTGCCCAAATTCTATAAGATGAACTTGGGAATTTGAAATTTACCTTTACAAAAATAGGCTGCTGATAATGACAGCAGACATCTGGGGACCTGTGGTGCGGATCCCCAGAGCTCTGAGGGAAGGGACAGACACATCAGAGACAAACGAGGATGGATAGAAGGAGAGTGGACTTTCCCGGCATCTATGCTCTTCAGACAGTGCACCCATCAACTTCATTCCAAGATGGCAAAATCAATCAATCAATCAATCAATCAATCAATCAAGGTTCTTTACCTTGGTCTTTTGTCTTTGTTGTGGTGGTACCATTTTTTTCCATATCTTGTGACATTTCTGCAGAAGAGAGGGAAGAAGAGTAAACTCATGCACACTTAGGTGAATTACCCAGGTCAGACCAGCAGAGTCCCTGAGACATGGTTTGCAATGCCAGATTCTGTCTTCTGACCTGTCTGGAGCCACGGGCTCAACTAGAGGGTCAGAGTGTATGTAAAATGAGCACTGGGTTCAAGATGAGAAGGTTTGGGCTCTAGTCTTATTTCTGTTTTTTGTCATTTGGAGACCTTTGGGTAAGTCATTGAAATGAGAGGTCAAACCTAGTTATTAAAAACTAAGGCTTTGGAGCCCTGGTGGTGTTGCTCAGTGGGTTGGAGTATCATTCCATAAACCCAAAGGTTGCAAGTTCTATTCTGGGTCAGGGCATGTATGAGAGGCCTCTTAACATCTGTTGCCTCTCAAGAGATGGATGTTTATCTCTCTTCCTCCTTTCCTCTCTCTCTAAAACCCAATTAAACATTAAAAAACATTAAGGGTCTGGAGTCAGACACTTGGTCTAAATGTGAATTTTGTCACTATTGGTGAGGACTTACACAACTCAACAGGCTTACATAAGGAAAAAAAACAATAAAAGAAAAAAGAAAAAACCCCCCAGGCTTATGTGCTTCTGTATGTTTATCACAGGAGCAAGGATAATAGTTCCCATGCTGTTAAGTTGCTCTGAAGATCACATGAGGTGATCTGGTAAAGAACAGCACAGCCTCCAACCTCCTGTAGCTAACACTTACTGAGAATAGCCACTATGTATACTTACTAGGACTGGTTGCCTACAAGTGCAGCTACGTACATAGTTTGTCTTAGATGAGGTGGGAATGAATTGCCCTGTTTTAAAAATAGTCATAAGGATCGTTTTAGACTCGCCAGTTACAGGAAAATCATGTATTTGATCATAGATACAATGGAAAACCATTTCAGGATTGTTAAGCAGGGGAGTAAAAGTATCAGAAGGAAAATCAAAAAACAATTTTTTAATTATTGATTGATTTGAGAGAGAAAGAAACAATTAGTTGTTCCATTTATTCATGCACTCATTGGTTGCCTCTTGTATGTACTTGGACTGGGGATCGAACCAACAACCTTGGCTATTGCAATGAAGCTCTAACCAACTGAGCTACATGCTCAGGGCTCAGATGGATATTTTTAAAAGATCACCTTGGTCCTTATTGAGGGGAAAATGGATTTCACATAACCAGAGTGGAGACAGGTTAGTGAGTCAAGGGTGGTGATTCTGACACACAGGCTATGGGAAAGAACGTGTAGAAACGAATCACACTTCAGAGCTAGGTCTCATGATTTTCTGATAAATTAGGCAGAGGGCAGAGTAAAGAAAGAATCAGGAATAAACTGACTTAAAAAATGAATGGGCTTTTTTGGTGAGAGTAGCTCCATGGACAGCAGGGCCCATGACAAAGGTAGAAAACGTGTTACCCCTGCCCCACACTGACCTGGAAGTCCCTCCATGCTGGTCCCTGGATCAGTCTTTGGGGGTGTAGAATCTCCTAGTCTTTCAGCCAGTGAAGACTCTGCAACACAGAGCAGATGACAGTTTCCACAATGTCACAGCAATGACCCTGACCAGGGATGAGGGCACCCTCTGCCCTGATTACTGAGGAGAACCAAGATGAATCAGTATATCCTGTGACCAGCCTGGGATGGAGGCAGAGCCTTGGGGACCACCACCACCACCACCACCACCACCACCACCACCACCACCACAGAGAAGCAACAGACATCCACGTGAAGAGTGCTCCAATTTTGAACTTGGAAACAAACTTCTTTTAATAATTATTTTTTTTAAATTGATGAGAGAGAGAGAGAGATTTGTTCCACTTATTTATGCATTCATTGGTCAAGTCTTGTACGTGGCCTGACTGGGGATCAAACCCACAACCTTGGTGTATTGGGACAATGCTCTAACCAGCTGAGCTCTCTGGCCAGGGCCTGAACTTCTGTCCTCATTTTGCTGTATGGTCTGAGGTAAGCCACATAATGGGGCAGTTTATTGTGGTTACCAAATGTTTATCTTCAGGAGTCATCCTAAACACTGTTCTTGAACTTCAGATTAGTTAGTGAACCCCTCACTAGATGCCTGAGAGTTATCCAAATAGTTACACCTTCAATTCACGAGGTCTCCCCTTCCTTGGTCTACTTGCTGCAAAACATCTCTTTCAGCATTTCCTGAGGCAATGGAATCCCATCTACCCAGTTTCTCCTGCCAGAAGCTTATATATCATCCTTGGTACCACATTCTCTCTCTGCATGTAGTCCTCCTCATTTCTACTTCTTTTTTAAAAAAAATCCTGACCTGAGCACATGTTTGTTGATTTTAGAGAGGAAGGGAAGGAGGGAGAAGGAGAAAGGAGGAGAGGGGGAGAGGGGAAGATGAGAGAGAAACATTGATCAATTGCCTCCCACACCCAGATCAGGGATCAAACTGCAACCCAGGTATGTGCCCTCATCAGGGATTGAACCCACAACCTCTCAGTGCATGGGATGATGTTCCAACCACCTGAGCCACAATAACCAGGGCTCCATTTCTACTTCTTTCTTTTCAGCTGCCACTGTCCTCCCTGTCCAAACCACACTTCTCTCTCTCCCATGGCCTCCCAATGGGCCTCCTTACACATATTCATGACTCCTTCTGGACCATGCAACCCTTCAGTAGCAATGATGAAATGGCTATTGGATTATTTTCTACTCCCACCCCTTTATAGCTATTTAATTGCTTATTCTTTGCTATTAAAATTATTTTCAAGATGCTCTGTTGTCTGATAGCCAGTCCATCTCTCTGCTGTCATCTCCTGCCGTGTTCCCTCCAAGTCTGCATGGTTTGCTCTGGCTCTTTGTTGAACTCTTCATAAAGCTGTTAGCTCAGAGTGTTCACCACCAACACGCCCAGGAAGCTTGACTAACTTCTTTTCTTCATTTTTCTCTCAGCCTAAACCTTTCTTCTTCTTCTAGGAAGTGATTCTAATCTTCACTTTCCTCTAGTCTGAAATAGGAAACTTTCATATTTTTCTACGCCTTCCATTTTAAAAATCACCTCTTGCCTTAGCTGGGTGGCTCAGTTGGTTGGAGCATTGTCCCACGCATGGAAATGTTTCAGGGTCAATCCCTGGTCAGGGCACAGAAAGGAGGCAACCAAAGTTTCTCTCTTGCATCGATGTCTGTCTGTCTGTCTGTCTGTCTCTCTCTCAAAATCAATAAATGTCTCCTTGGGTGAGGATTTAAAAAGATTATCCCTTTATGCTTCTCCTCACTGCTGCACTGAAAGCTGAAACTCTCTGGTGCAGGACACAAGAAAATTTAAATATATGCTAAATGAATATTTAATGAGAAGCCTCATCTTTGTCAGGCATTAGCTCATGAACTTGGTCAAACTGTGGAACTCGGTACAACTTGTGTTTTATCTTCTGCCATGGAGAGCCTATTTCGTCAAGTAGGTCTGAGGTTCAATGGCAGGGCACAGACAGCATAGAGCCAAAGCTGGGGGACCAACTCAGTAAACATCAACCATCATTTTAATGTTTATAACCCTCATTGCCTGTGAATAATACCAATGAGCTTTCCACACAGGGCTTGTTTTTTGAAGCTTGGGAGACACGGCATCTCTTAATGTCCTTTGTAGCTACAGATGCTGAGTCATGTTGAAGCATGTGGTACCTGGGCTCTCCAGGGCCAGTCTGCCTGCCCACATCTGGGACTCTTTGCTAAGTTTTTTGGTCCACAGTTGAAGAAGAGAATTCTTCCTGGTAAAAAGGATAACTATTTTTTTTCCTACTACCTTTCTCCTAAATACGTCCAGATAATCCACCTATTGATCTAAGTATATCGCTCTAATACAGCACCAATGGTCTGAGTAAGGTCAACCCCTAGAAGCGTTCCTCAAACCTTAATCCCTCTACTCAGGGTGAGAAATAAGGGGGGCACCCATGGTACAATCACCACAGTGTTGTCAGTAAACAGGAAGCGTTATTAACCACTTTCTGTTTATCTTCTTTTTATTTTTAAAGATTTACTTATTTCTAGACAGAGGGGAAGGGAGGGAGAAAGAGAGGGAGAGAAACATCAATGTGTGGTTGCCTCTCTCATGGCCTCTACTGGGGATCTGGCCCACAACCCAGGCATGTGCCCTGACTGGGAGCTGAACTCTTGACCCCTTGAGTTGCAGGCTGGCACTCAATCCACTGAGCCACACCAGCCAAGGCTCTCTACATTATCTTATCAAGCCAAACCTTTGTCACAGCACATAGCAGTATCACAGCTTCTGTTCCAAGACATGGAACCCAAGGGTCAGAGTAGGAGGGGACATGCCCCAAGTTACAAGTATAACAAGGGGTAACTCCAGAATGCAAGTTTAGTAGGTACAACTCTAAATCCTGTCTACTAATGTCAACCAAATTCTGTCCAGGTAGAGTGAGGGTCCTTCTAGCTATTTCTTCTCCTTCTTTGTTTCACAGGCTAGAGACAACACAAATTTCCAGCCAGAGAGTAACCAGTGAGTCACTTCTCAGAGTTGGGGCTCACACTCTGATGGGACCCAATGAGAGAACAGTGGTGCCCTCCCCATTCCCATGGGACCTTGAGATCGCCCCCCCGCCCTCCCAGCTCTTCTCCCACCTCTAGACTGGCGCCATGCCTTCACTCACTTTCCACTTCATCCCTCGCCTTTTCAGAGAGCGCTGGCAGGTTCATCTTGTGAAAGATGTCCATGCATATCTTCCAGACAAGAAGTGCTCTGCAATGCTCTTGCAAGATGGAGGCTAAATGTTCTGTATTGGAGTCATCCACCTCACCCCATGGAAAAGAGCATGTGACCAGTTCTGCAGCATTTTCCTTTAGCAAGATCTTAAATGTCTGAAACTCTTCTTTGCCCAGCTGCCCGAGACACCACTGCAGTCCACAGTTGGATGCGCTGGCTTCTGCCATCTCAACACAGGGCCGAGGGCTGCGGTGTTGATGGAAAGGAAGACGCTTTGGCTGCAGGGAGCAAACGGGACCTGGTGGGGGGGGCAGTGACAAAGTTGAAAGGACAGTCTCGAATCAAGTGATCACGTTGAAACAACCAGCATCTATCAGCTCACTAGATGGACAACATTCTCTATGCCTTTGTTAAACACACCGAGAGAACCCTAGTTCACACAGGTAATCATGCTTCCTAGACAAAAAGGACTTGACCTGGTATCTATCTTGTTACTAGATTATAACGGGATGTATAAGGGATGTTTTCCTGCCTGTTTCCCTGGTTCCCAGAAAAGCACCAGTCATAGAGTGAGACTCAAAACCCTCGTCAGTGAATGCTTTTGGCTAATCTGTGAATACTCAGGGGAACAAGCAGATAATTTCCCCCCACTTACTGAAAATCAGTTGCACAGTTTTTATATTTATTTTTAGGAGTTTTGTTTTAAAATTTTTATTGAAGAAATGTATTTTGGAGGCAAAAGAATACGGTTGTGAAAATATCTGGGCTAACATATTTTCACATATGTACCTACAAAGAGAATATTTTCCTAATTATATCAGCAGAAAGAAGCCAACTGAAGGTATTGAGGATTTTAAATTGATTCACCATAAAAATCAACTTTGAAGAAGTTCATCAGATACTTTGTGAAAATTTAATAAGAAAAATTGAAAAAAGATTTTTTTAAAGAAAAAATGCTAGTTACAGAGCATGAGACAGATAAGTGACACGATTTTTAGATCAATTCTGTTGTGCTCATTAAGGTAACATGAAGGTACATAAACACAGTCGAGAGTTTGGTATAAAACCATAGGATCTCACTCATATGTGGAATCTAAAGAACAAGATAAACTGAGGAACAAAATAGGAACAAAATCAATCAATTAAAAAAAAAGGATGGGTTTGGTCCTCAGGCAGTGGTTTGCTGAGAGAATCAGATGAAGATGTCAGCTATCAGCATTACTACTCAGTTTTGTATTCTTTTCAGCATTATTTAATCTATTCTTTGGCAAAGCAGTTACATGAAGAATCAAGGGATATAACTGTGTTAAAGGACAACAGCCAAGGTCTGGAAACAGCCCAAGTAGATGAGTGGATAAAAAAGCTGTGGTACATTCACACAGTGGAATACTACTCAGCCTTAAAAAGTAAGGAAGCCTTACCTTTTGCGACAGCATGGATGGACCTGCAGAGTATTATGCTAAGTGAAATAAACCAGTCAAAGAAATATGAGTGCCATAGGTGGATTCTAATGAACAAAATGAACTAACATGCAAAATAGAGACAGACTCATAGATAGAGAGCAGGCTGATAGCTGTCGGGGAGAGGTAGGGGAGTGGAAGGGTTGAACAAAAAAGAGAAAACAAAGAAAAAAGTCATAGACATGGACAAGAGTGTGGTGATTGCTGGGGACAGAGAGGTGAGGTGTGATGGAGGACAGTAAAGGAGGAGTAAATGATGACAGAAGAAGACCTGACTTGGGGTGGTCAACACACAACACAGTGTCCAGATGATGTGTTGTAGAATTGTGCACCTGAAATCTGTATCACTTTGTTAACCAGTGTCACCCCAATTCGATAAAAAGGAGAAAAAGTATGAAAGCAAAATCTAATATTAATATTCATAAGTGAATTTGCAGACCTAAAAAAGCTAAGGAAATCCCTTGAAAAACTATTGGAACTCACAAGTCATCATTAAATTGGGTTGGTAACAAATTTGACATTTAAAATACCACCCTAGGTGATAAAATAAAATTCCACCCTAATTCTAATAACTAGTCAGCAAACAAAAGACATCAGATAAGATGTAGCTGTGACAGAGCTAAAAATGTATTTTAGGAAAGTGAAGTGTTTGTTTTGAAAGCTTTAAAAATGCTTCTGACAGATAAAAACCTGGATGGGAAAGACAGAGTGTATATTTTCAGAATATCAATTCACCCAAGAAGCTCTGCTGACAATTTTATTGGGACTAGAAGCTCATTCGAGTTCTTATAAAAGCCAAAAATAAGACCATAAAATTCTGGTAAAAAAAAAAGTTTTTTTATTCTGCTGGTGTCTAAGCAAGACTGTAACTTCCATGAGAGAAGGTCACCATTTCTGAGCATCTGAAACATAAGAGATGCTACTTAAAAATATTTGTTTGTGAATTCCTACTTCACAGGTAACCCCCAAACACAATCCATAGTAGAAAGGAGAAAATTCTTCAGCTCAGCCCACTTTCCCCTCTCCCTAAAACTTTAAAGCTCTCCTAAAAAGTGGACTGGTACAGCCTGAGCTGGGTGGCTCAGTTGGTTGGAGTGTCATCCTGTCCACCAAAAGGTTGTGGGTTCAATTCCCAGTCAGGGTGCATGCTGGAGTCAACCCATTGATGTTTCTCTCTATATATCTTTCTCTCCCTTCCTCTATCTCTAATGAAGATATCCTCAGGGGAGGATTTAAAAAAAAAGTAAACTGGTGCAAATACATTTGAAACACGGGACAATTAATAAATACATTATAGAAGGAACTCCCCTAGTCAGTGAAAACAACCAATAGTTCAATTCATTAAAATGAGCAAGAGTTGAAAAACTTAAAAAAAAAACAACAAACGGATGTGGCTTTCATTTGTATGAGAAACCTATGTAGTCATGAATGATAGTGATGACCAATAAGAATGACAAGTGGCAGGTTATAAAAAGGTGAAAATAGGCCATAGAAGTCAGAGGGGGGTGGATATCTTGGCTTTATGAAGCCAGTGGGTGCCAAGTCCTATATGTCGAGCTGGCCATGTCCATAATGTTTGATTACCTACTGTTTTGCTGCAGGCTGAGAACGTGTGCCTGATCGTGGGTGGGTGTGTCCCTGGGAGCGTCTCTTTAGAGGGCAATTTGGCAAGATCTGTGCATGTTAAATGCAACTATTTTTAGACACAGGCTTGTCTGGGACAGCAAGAGTGAAGGCTAATTGGTCAAGAACAGGTGTGTTCATTCATTCTCTCTTTAAAATGCTCTGCATCCTTAAAAATGCCCAACAGCCAGTGCCAAATGGTGCCTGTGGCTGTAACATATTAACATCCCCAACCCAGTCCACTCACGATTTTGGGGGGATAAGCAGGAAATGGATTGAGTGGAGGAGGGTGAACTGAAGGACACATTTTACTTTATACCTTCACATCAGGAGGGTATAAAATACTAAAAGGCATTTTCTGTGAAAATAGCACTGTAGTGGAAGCTAGTCGAAATAAGCACATTTTACTAAAATGATCGAGTTGTTTATTACCATCACCCATCCATGAATGATGAGGGAGGAGAGAGGGAGACAGAGAGAGGAAATTACTGACGATGGACAGATGATGAAGTTTACGCACTAGATTATTCAAAACAGAACTCTAGCAAGAAAACAAGCTTTTCTACACATTCCCAATTGGTAGTTAAGACACAAAACAAACAAACAAACAACCCCCCCCACATATTTCTAAGAACAAGTTAAAAAGGGTGCATCTTAACCACAAAAATATAAAACTTCCTAGGCTAAAATTAAAATTAAGATTTCTTTTAACATAAAAGAAACTGTATACATGGAGATTGAAAACAACACACACACAAATCTCTGAACTATTTGGTTAAGTGATGAAATTAAGGAAGGAAGAAAGAGAACGTGTTTCAGGTGGCCACACCCACTTTTATATATACACACAGTGATTTGAAGGAAATATTTGAATTGAACACACAGCACAATCATGAAGATCTAGAGATGCAAAAAGAGAACCGAGACTATAAAAAGCCACAAACCCTTAGTGGTAGTAGCAAAAAGTCCGGCACAGGGAGAGCTATTATTATTTTTTTAAGATTTTGTTTATTTTTTTCTTAGAGTGGGGGGAAGGTAGGGAGAAAGAGAAGAAACGAAACCTTGATGTGTGAGAGAGACACCAATCAGTTGCCTGTCACAGGCCCCCAACCAGGGACCTGGCTCACAAGCGAAGCACGTGCTGGGACCAGGAATCAAACCAGCGACCTTTCGGTTTGCGGGACGATGCCCCACGCGCTGAGCCACCCCAGTCAGGGCAGGAGGGGTCCTCTGAGGACGAGAGGAAAGAGAAAACCTATAGGTTGCTCCTTGCTAAGAATATACAAAAGCTGGAGCAGCCAAGAAACAGAAATCGACGCGTGCCTTCTCTTGTCTAAGCCCCTCCTCAGCAGGTGGGCAGTGCGACCCTCACACTTTCTGCAGATAATCTCAGTGTCTGCAGTTGACCGTCCTCCCTCCACAGAGTCAAAAAGTTCTGGCTCAGGGAATAGCTCCGAGTATTTCTATGAAAAGCATTTTCAAGGCGCAGCTGATGAAAAGCTGTACCTCTTCCAATACCTCCCAGAGAGGGGACGCCAGTCAATCACACCCAACAGACACAGGTGAGTGGGGTGAGGTGGAAGGATTAGCGGGAGGGCGGGGGTGCAATTCGGAGGGGGGGGGTGAAGGTTATTTTCGGAGCCTACGCGACTCGCCCAAGCTTCGCTTTGTCTCCATCCTTTCTCCGCCCTCTGCCTCCCCTGGGACCTCACAGGTGTTTCGTGACCCCCAGAAGCCGCTCCCTTTCCAGGGCTTGGCTTCCCAGGGCTTGGCGGGGAAGCCGGGCTCCACCCTGGCCGCCCCAGGCAAAGCCGTGCCGTTGGTCTGCGACTCGGTCCCCGCCCTTCACAAACGGCACCCTCAGGATGGGGGACTGCGAGCCACCGTCCGCGGGGGAGCACAAGTAACGCAGGAACGCCCCTGGGCTC